CCACTACCATCGGGTAAAGTTACAGTAGAAGAATGTTCTTGGATAGCGAGTTTAATGTGTCTCGGCGCTTTGGTTGGAAATTCATTCTTTGGAACCATTTCCAGTAAATTTGGCCGAAAAATTGGAATGCTTTCCCTTACGCTTCCGACTATTGTGAGTACAAAAAAAGGTGTTTGTGCATAAAAAAACGCCAAAACATGAAACTATTTAAATTTTGTAGATTGCTTGGACGCTTGTGATATTCGCTCAAAATGTGTACTACCTTTATGCTTCTCGAGCAATTAATGGATTCGTTGGTGGAGGTGTGTTCGTGATAATACCAGTTTACTTATCAGAAATTGCAAGTGATCGGTAAGCGAATTGTGTGATTTCCATTTCTTTCAGATAATAATTAAGTGACCATGATAAAACAATAATGCATATTCGTTATCGTTCATTTCACAGCGTAAGAGGAGCCCTGGGATCAATGTTGGTTTTAACATGTAATATAGGTGCATTGTTGGCATTTGTATTTGGTGCCTATCTCAATTATTTCACAACTCCAAAATTCGTAATTGCTCTGATGGTTGTAAGCGCCATTGCCATCTGGTTCTTACCGGAAACCCCACCATTTCTCTACTCAGTGAATAAAATAACGGTGAGTGTGTACACAATACATCACATGATAATTATCTTATACATTTTTTCTTATCACATGCTCACATGAGAATGTAACGAGATATAAGTTCCAAAAATGTGATGTTGCAAGTTTTTAAATGTTAACTAATATTTTAGGAAGCGGAAAAATCAATTCGATTTTATCAAGATTTGAAAGGAAAAGAAAACGACTTTCAAATACTTCAATTTGAATTGAACAAACTGAAAAACACTGTCGGAGGTGGCGAAAAAAATGAAATCAATACAAATTCGTTTAGCTGGTCCGATATAACAAATGGTCCGGGCAAAAAAGCGATGATAATCGGAATAGTTTTGGCATTGTTGAATCAATTTTGTGGTTGTTTTGCAATGTTGCAATATACTGCAGACATTTTTACAGCGGCTGGTTCGAGTATGGAACCAAATGACTCAGGTAACATATTCGATCCGACATATTTTGTTGTAAATTAACTTATATTATTGTGAATTTATAGCGATTTTAGTCGGTCTGCTGCAGCTGATAGGAAGTGCGATACCTTCAGTTCTTGTTGATCGAACTGGCAGAAAGGTAACAGTTTTATTATTTTTATTGTTTCCGTCTATCGATCGGAGGGCGATTATCTAAATATAAAAGCAAAAAAAAAACGTGCAATGATGTTGACGCCCTACGGAAGAATGGAGAATGGAGGGTATCGTTATGTATTCAAACAGATACATTCACACTATTGGTATTTATAATGTTTTCGTAGGACATCACCATCATCGTACGTAAAACTTGAAAATCGCTCTTCGCTATTGATTTATACATCAAATGTTGGTTTTAGTTTTTATTCTTAGTATCAACCATTGGTATCGCTTTGGGTCTGACCACACTTGGAACATATATGATGCTAAAAGGCTTGGGTTATCCAGTTCAATCATTCAGTTGGATTCCTATCGTTGGCTTTTCATTCGTTATATGTATTGCGAATTTTGCCGTTTTAACTCTGCCTTTCTTGGTCATCTCCGAGATTATGCCGGTGAATTTGAAAAGTTTCGGACCATCAGTGTGTATGATTATTATGTGGGCATCTGCATTCCTTATTATCAAATGTATGCCTCTTATGACGGCAGCGTTGGGATTGAATGGAGTAATGTATTTCTTTGCTGGCATTTGTTTGTCTTGTGCCATCTTCATTATGTTATGTATTCCAGAAACAAATGGTAAATGTCACGAATTTCATAATTTTTATTAAATTCCAGTGATTCTTTTTTTAAATAATTTTCATTCTTTTGTGATTCTAGGAAGGAGCTATGATGAAATTATGCAATTGCTCGAATAGGATTAGCTTTAAGATAAGATAGATTATCAACCATAGTATATTAATATAAAAATTTAATAAAAAAAAATTGATTCGGAAATAAATAAACATAATTTTTGTCATGATGGAATGTTAGCTAAATATTTATATTTTTATAAATCTTGTGATTCAAAAATGGACAGAATATTTAATCGGTACAAAGAGTACTGTTTATCAGAACAGTATATATGAAGGGAACTCAGAAGTTTCGGAGGAGCAGAGTTTAAAATGATTGTCCGAGAATGAATGTGAGTCTTCTCGTGAGAGTTTATTGAAATGTAGCACCGCCATACTAAAATTGCTGACAGTCAGCATTTTTTGTATGGCGGTGTTACATTTCAATAAACTCTCACGAGAAGACTCACATTCATTCTCGGACATTCAAATATTAAAAGTTAAAATATATCTAAAACTTTAATTCTTTTTTCAACTTCAGTCTCTGAATAAATGAATACGTAAATATTTAATGAATCAGCCGATTTTATGTTGATCACATATTGAAATGGTTTGTTAGATTGTAACATTTGTTTAGTAAATCAAGTTACAAATCCCGATCTGGTTACAGGTGGTGCTGTAATCAGCTTGATATAACCGAAATATCATGGTCCATTGACGAAGAAATGCGGCCCCATTGGGAGACAAAGCAGAAATTAAAATTTATTGACTCTTCGCCAGTCTGCGTAGTTCTTTTTTAATTATCACGCACTTATGCGTATGTTTGTTTTACTAAAATGTGATTAATAGCCGTATATGATATTTCAGTTGCTATCCATGCGCAAGTACAGGAATGACGTCGAACACAAAACAAACATGTACAAAAATGAGAAAATATTTGAAATTAAGAAAAAAACATTGTGGTATCATGAGCGCGTGATAAATATTTTGTTTGACGCAAAATCTGTTGGAAAAATGTAGATGTAATAGAAACAACAACTTTTGAAATGTTGCTACCATATAACATGCGACTGGCTCCAGACTCCCGACACATGTTAATGAAAATGTTGAATTTTCAAATTCTATTTTTAGGAATATGAAACATGCGCAATTCAAATTATGGAACTTAAGTTTTTATCCAGCCAAATTGTCAATGTAAAAAACTAATCGAAAATGACCAAATAAAAAATGCATCGCCCAAATAAAATGTCAATGATTCTTTTCAATTTGTATTTTAGGCTTAAGCTTAGAGAAAAATCTTTATTATCGTACGATTCTATTTGTCAAAATGTTAGAGTACTCATGTATGCTCACCGATTCATTTGTTTATCAACGTTTGCTCAAATCGCGAATTTAGAGTGTAGACAATGACTCACTTCGTCTGCGCAAGATCGTCAATGATGGTGAAATACGCAAATGGATTAAAATGAATTAGACACATGATATGTTACACATTATTCTCAGGGGCTTTCATGATATAAAGGAAAATATCAAAATTCAAAATATCGTAGCTTTAAAATACATTTTTTGGATTGATGCATTTGATCTGATTGTATATTATAAAAGATACACAGAGATTTCGAATAATACCAAGTGTTTAATAATTGGATAGATATATACATATAATATAAAAAATAGTGGAGTTTACGTTTAGCTGTATATTCCCCCTTAGACTAATAATGTTGTAAATCAAATGTTAAAAAAACAACGTGAGAGACGACTATAAAAATATGTATGTTGTTAAGCGACTGCATGAAAGCATGTTTGTTTTTTTATTCTAATTACTCTTGTTTGCTTTCCAGTCACATGCTTGTTAAATCAATCTTTATCAAATTTAAATTTGAACTCATGAAAATGATTTATGATCAAAAGCGGTGTTTTTCTCGCACATTTTGGCCTATAAAATTGCTTAATTCGCGATTAATTTCAAAAGTTCCACCTTGCAAGTGATCGCTATTACGTGTCACCAAATTTGACTGTTTTTTTGTGAAGTGAGAAAGAAATTACCAAAGCCATGCAAGAATCAAGCGCAAATGTCAAATGTCAGTACTTCGCTGCATTTGTGGGTAAGAATCGAAAGACATCATCAACATCATCAAAGGAATTTTAATTTATTTGTCTATTTTTTTCCAATAGTGAATATGCTCTCTGCTGGATATGGAGTCACAGCCGGCTGGTATAATGGCTATAGAAAATATTTTTGATATTATTGGATATAATATTGTCATAATTTTTGTTATAGGGCGAGTCCCAGCCTTATTCTTCTAACATCGGACGAAACACCATTGCAATCTGGACAAATTACGATGGATGAAGCTTCAGCGGTCGCTGCGCTTACTAGTCTTGGTGGTTTGATTGGAAATATATTTTTTGGATGGATTACAAGCAAATTCGGCCGAAAAAATCCTTTGGTGTTCATGACCATTCCAACTATTGTAAGTTAATCTTTTTTGTTAAATCCAATGAAGTTAAAGGAGTGAAAGAAGATCAACATATTTTTTATAGATAAGTTGGCTACTAATCTTATACGGACAAAACGTTTTTCACCTGTAAGTTTTAAATGTTTTTACTTTTCCGCACACACCTAGTGTGTAAGGTAAAGTATTGGAATCGGTCGAAAAATTAACACCCATAAAAAATGTGTTTTCTGGGTGTTTTTGGGGCCAGGGAACACGAATCTAGCGTTTTTTCGATGTCCGAATGTATGTGCGTACCCTGTACCCTGTACCCTGTACCCTGTACCCTGTACCCTGTACCCTGTACGCTGTACCCTGTACGCAAAAATTTGTTAACACGATAACTTTCAAACAAGAAAAGTAATTCAAAATCTGACTTCACAGGATGATTGGGGGTGCCGAGGAATAGAAACCATTAGATTTTGAGCGACTTTGGTTGATAGAGTGCCGTGTCATGTCTGGTGTGATGCCCATGGCCATCCATGGAAAGGAATTCAATTTTTCTTCCAAAAGTGATATTTAATGTATTCTTAAACACTCAAAAATGTGTATTGGGGGGTTTTTGGGTACGAGAAAACCGAATATGACGTTAGTTATGCGATACAATCAACTTTCGAAACACTTTTCATACAAAAAATTCAAAAAATTTGGATTTTTGTATGGAAGCCATGCCTGTATGATATCGTAATGAGCTGAAACTTTGCACAGGTTATTTTTATCACACATAAATACTATTCCGAGAGTTTGAAGACATTTCAACGAATATTAGGGGCACCTCCCGAACAATATTTTGGATTTTTCGCTCTAAAACGAAATTTTGTATGGGAAGTACCCTTAATATGCATTGAAATTTCTTCAAACTTTCAGAATGTTAACTTTTTGTGAAAAAAATAACCTCTGCAAATTTTCACATGATTACGATATCATATAGGCATGGCTCCGATACAAAAATTCCCATCTTTAGTAGTTTTTGTAAGAAAAGTGCTTCGAAAATTATTTTTATCTAAAACTAATGTCAGATTTAGTTTTCTTTCATGTCGTGGATCACAGTGCGGAAAAGTTCATCTTACGGATGTAAGACATTTTATTTTTTTTTTTTTTTGCACTAATGATCAAAGAACTTGACTATGAAATATTTATTTTAGATACGCATCGCGCATACTTAGTGGTTTTGTAGGCGGTGGAATATTTGTGATAGTTCCTGCATTTTTGTCCGAAATAGCAGTTGATCGGTATGTTTTTGTTCACATGATGAATAATATTGAGACATAAATAAAATAAACAATATTTGCAGTGTACGAGGAGTATTGGGCTCTATGTTGACATTAACGTGCAACGTTGGTATATTGCTTGCTTTCATATTCGGAAAATATCTGGATTATTTTGCAACTCCAAAAATCGTAATTGCTCTTACTGTTGCATGTGCAATTTTACTTTTCTTCTTACACGAATCACCATCAGTCCTTATTAAAGCAAACAAAACCTTAGTAAGTAACATTATGTGCACAGTTTCAAAAAAAAACCTTTGTAACATTAACAGAATTCATTCTTCAGGAAGCCGAAAAATCAATTAAGTTCTATCAAAACTTGAATGTTAATAACGATAAAGATTTCAAGCATCTTCAATCAGAAATGAATAGATTACAAAACACCATCGCAAATGTAAACGAAGATAAAACCAGTGACAATTCGTTCAAATGGTCCGATTTAACAGTTGCGCCTGGTAAAAATGCCATGATGATCGGAATCGTTTTGGTGCTATTGAATCAGTTCTGCGGATGTGTGGCGATGTTAAATTACACTGCAAAAATTTTCAAAGATGCCGGATCAAACATGGATCCAAACATGTCAGCGATTGTCGTGGGAATTATTCAATTGATTGGTGAGCGAACATTTTTGATTGATTGCACCGAGAGAATGGTAATTTGAAGTTGTTTTATTCTTCCATTAGGATCTTATGTGACCACAAATCTTGTTGATCGAGCTGGACGAAAGGTAACATTAAATCCAGCTTTTTCGTTACTTAAAATAATTCGATTCAACTCGATAAATGTGTAATGTCTTTTCAGTTCTTGTACGTAGTATCATCGATTGGAATTGCCTTGGGATTGATTACGCTCGGAACATATATGATGTTGAAAACATCAGGCTACAATGTTGAAATATTCAACTGGGTTCCGATCACTAGTTTTTCATTCGTAATTTTCATCGGAAGTTGGGGAGTTCTAACTCTGCCATTCTTAGTCATTTCCGAGATTATGCCGGAAAAATTGAAAAATTTCGGACCTTCATTCTGTATGATTATTTTGTGGTCTTCACAATTTCTTGTTGTGAAATATTTACCACTTCTCACCGATACTCTTGGATTCCATTATACACTGTTTATATTTGCTGGAGTTTGTTTATTTGGCGCCATGTTCATCATTGCATCAATGCCCGAAACAAAAGGTAAAAACTACGAATTTCATTTACTTTCTATTGAATTTTATTGATTTTCAATATTTGCGTTTGTGATTTTAGGAAGAAGTTATGATGAAATTATGAAAATGCTCCGATAAAGACAAGCACAACGAACAATAATTTATTTTTAGTTTTTTTTTTTTTATAAATAAGAAGGAGATTTGTTGTTCGGACAATCAATGACAACAAAACATTAACAAGTATGAGCAGGTCTTATACAAATACTGTTTTTCAAATAAATTATATCGAACTTATAATCTCATTCAATTGTTGAAGAAATTGCTGCTTTATCAGAAAAGGAGTAGCATTGTAATAGCAAAGCCATTGCAAGCTTAAATAATAAATGCACAAGTGCAATTGAATAATTTACTGTTATTTATTCTAATCTGAATCCAAGCGATTTATGACTAAATCAAATAGAATTAAAAGCTATGTCTACTCCACAGCATGTACATTAGAATTTGTTTTGCAAATATGGTTAATATTAATTTATCGTGCTCATCGTATTTAAAATCCAAATTTGATTCAGTTTCAAAGTGATAAAAGGTCTCATCATATCTTGAAGGTCGCGTAAGCTTGCATACAGATTCTCAGCCTTAAAGACGTATGCAAATAAAGGTTATCAAAGATTTACAAGGAAGACTTTGACTATCAAAGACGGATTTCATGAATTTCAGAGCATATACTGAGCATAGATATATATCCGAGATATTTTGTGAGTATCCGATATTTATCGCAGCCAGACATTATAATGGAGTGAAAACAATAGAAGTGATTGTTATAGGTCTAAGTATAAAACCATTTACATTACTACAATCACTATAACAATAACTTCTATTGTTTTTACTCTATTTCAAAGTCTGGCTCCAATGAATATCGGATACTGACAAAATATCCAGGATATATATCTATGCTTAGTATATGCTCTGATGAATTTACAACGCTGGTAGTTTGAAGACCATATTATTATCGTTGTATACACGAGACAGAGTAAATAATTTTTCACAAATAGAAATGCAATTTAAAGATAAAGTAGAAATAAAATTTAACGTATAAAACCCAGTAATTTGTACAAATACAGTTTACTGTTCATTATTAAACGTTATGGTGAAGATTTGAAGTTTAAAAAAAAAGAAATGTTTGAAATGGTGCCTAAACAAAGTGTAAAATATCAATATTTGGCTACGGTAGTCGGTATATCTAAAATGTTTCTTTTATTTTAAGGAACAATATTTCACACAATTTTTTTATTCACAAACAAACAGTAAATATATTACTAATGGGCTATGGTGTAGTGTGTGGCTGGTCAAGTCCAAATATTGTGCTATTGACATCAGACGAATCTCCGCTATCATCGGGTAAAATCACAATGAATGAAGCATCATGGTCGGCTTCGCTTATTTGTATCGGTGGTTTGGTTGGAAATATATGCTTTGGATTTATTACCAATCGATTTGGTCGCAAAAATCCTTTAATATTCATTACAATTCCAGTGATTGTACGTTCACTTTCTGCTGCAATTGAAAATCTTGAATGACATAAATTGAAAGTTGTTTTCTTTCAGATCAGTTGGCTACTAATTTTATATGCACAAAATTTTTATTATTTGGCCGCAGCTCGGTTATTGAATGGATTTACGGGTGGAGCCATTTACACGATCGTTCCTCCTTTCTTATCAGAAATCGCAATTGATCGGTAAATATCGATCAAATTTATAAAAGTAAATCATCGATTGAATTTTCAAATTCATTTACAGAGTTCGGGGGCTCTTGGGTTCAACTTTGGTTTTGAGCTGCAATATCGGAATCTTACTAGCATTCGTCTTTGGAAATTATTTTGATTTTTACATGACACCAAAGTTTGTCATTGCATCGACAATATTGTGTGCCGTTTTATTGTGCTTTTTCCCCGAAAGTCCGTCGTTTCTCATGAAACAAAACAGAATATCAGTACGTATTGAGTCTTAATTTCAAGATAATTGTAAAGTGAGCGTAATCATTGTTTTTTTTTTTTTTTTTTTTGCAGGAAGCTGAGAGATCGATTCGTTTTTATCAAAATTTAAAAAAAGACGCCGATTATGAAGTGCTTCAGTCGGAAATGAATAAATTGAAAAATTCACTGCAAGGAGACAGCACGAAAAAATCCGTTTCGATAAAATGGTGTGATTTAACAAGTGGAGCCGGTAGAAAAGCCATGACAATTGGCATCGTTTTGGCTGCATTAAATCAACTCTGCGGTTGCTTTGCCATGTTACAATACACTGCTAATATTTTCAAAGAGGCTGGTTCTGCTATGTCCCCAAATATGTCGGCAATTGTTGTTGGCGTGATACAGCTTATTGGTATGGAACAAGCCCTTAACATTTTTAAAAACTGTTTTTCGAATAATATTTGTTGCTCAATCAATTGACATTCTATTGCTCTTTCCGTTAGGATCTTATGTGACAACAGCTCTTGTTGATCGAACTGGGAGAAAGGTACATTTTTCCATATGTATTTTACAGAGGGTCTTAACAAATCAATATTTCTTTGTAGTTTTTGTTTGCAGTGTCAACTATTGGAATTGCTTTTGGATTAATTACTCTCGGAGTGTATATGATGTTGAAAACATCGGGCCACGAAGTTGAAACATTCAGTTGGATTCCGATTGTTAGCTTTTCATTCGTAATATTTATAGCAAGTTGGGCGGTATTAACTCTGCCTTTCTTGGTTATCTCCGAAATTATGCCGGAAAAGTTGAAAGATTTCGGCATGTCATTTTGCATGGCAATTTTATGGTCCACTTCATTTGCCATCATAAAATATTTACCGTTTCTCAACAATGCGCTCGGTTTTCATGGAACTTTGTTCGTATTTGCTAGTGTTTGTCTATCATGTGCAATTTTTATTATCTTATACATGCCAGAAACAAAAGGCAAAAGCTACGAAGAAATACAGAAAACTCTTCGCAAATGAGCCTTGCATTTTTTTCATGAAAATATTTGTTTCTTTGAATAAACCATAAATTAAGTCTTTAAATCCGCTGGAATGAGCTGGAAAATTTATATTCCTATAACATTTCAGTGCTCGTGTTATTACTTTTCTTGCACTTAAAGAGTCTTTTGTCTGACATAACGAAAAATGAAAACCCCCGTAGTTATACAACAAATATCACACTGTCTAATGGGAAGTCAAATTTGTTTAGATAATTAATTATATGACGTCATATGATAAGAGCTGAAAGAATAACGCTTAACGTTTTCTAGTTCTATTTCAAAAGTATCTTTCATCTAATCAATTAAATGAGAGTACATTTAAACAAAATCATTGAATTGTAACAAATTGAATGTCTTGCAAGTAGATCTTAATTGCGAATGGTCATAGAATTTATAAAACGATGATGTTCAATCGTGTTCAATCGAAAATTTATTCATTCAAGTTATAAACGTTCACACTAGTTCAAGTGTGTTTGTTTTAATACTTAGCGTTTGAATTGGTATAAGTTATCTTGTCAAATAAAAGCATTAACGATTCATGATTCTTGGAACAAAAGTACAAAGAAATAAATAATCATTAGCTGTTCAGAACATATTCATAATGTCAGAAGAAGTGAAAAGTGACACCGTATTTTCAGATGTTAAAAGGCAAATATGGGCCACATTAGTAGGTTCGTTTTTTATTATCGTGCTTTGGTGGTGAATTTGCAAGAAAAATCATTTATTTTAATGCAGTGAATTGTATCATTTTGAGCCATGGATGCGCTGTCGGATTTTTCTCACCTGCTTTGTTGATTCTTCGCTCGGAAAAAACACCAATCATCACGGGACCCCTAACAAACGCCCAATCCTCGTGGATTGGATCGATGAGTAGCGTTGGATCAGTATTAGGAACTTTCATTTGTGGTTTTTTATCAGCGTTGTTTGGTTGTAAGAAGGCGATGATATTCTTGGCATTTCCCACAACTATATTTTGGTTATTGATCCATTTTGGCGATACATTTTATAAAATTTTAATTGCAAGACTTATCGGCGGAATAACTGGTGGTGGAATGCAAGCTGGCGTTGCTCTTTTTGTTTCAGAAATATCAAACGACAAGTAAGCAAAGATAGTATTTTTAAGAAAACTCCATAGCCGATTTTATTATGACATCTCATGTTATAGCATGCGCGGTCGTCTTGGTGCATTCACACCCCTTGCTCGAAATATTGGTGTTATGCTTAGTTTTATCGCTGGCGCTATCGTTGAATACCAGTACTGGCCATATATTTTCATTTTTATTCCTATAATATATTTAATTTTACTGTTATTGCTACCAAACACTCCACAACACTACATAGAAAGAGAAGAATTTCATGTAAGTCAAATTGCAAAAACGTATAAAGTAAAATAAAGTATAAAAACATTCTTACAGAAAGCCAAAAGGGCTCTCATCTACTACAAAGGATGTGAAGAAAATAATGAACGACAGCGAACTCTTTTGAACTCTGAATTTGAGCAATTGAAGGCCGTAATTGAGGAAAGAAAAAAGAGCGCAAAACTTGAAATGAAAGATTTTTGCAATCGACCGGTTTTAAAGGGGATTTTTTTCAGTATTGCAATGAGCTGGTTTCTACAAACAACGGGATGCTTCATCATTACAAATTACGCAAGTTTAATATTCGAGCAATCAGGGACAGCCCTTGGAATAAATGTCTCATCTATTGTTTTGGCGGTACGTAGAAACTGACACTTGTTCGCAATTACACTTTACATTTTTAGATTGTACAAATTTTCGGTGGATTGGTGTCGACAAAAATGGGCGATGCTTTCGGAAGAAAAATAACTTTATTCATTTCGCTTTATGGATCGATTGTGGGGCTACTTATATTTGCGGTGTATATGTACTTTCGACAAAATGGATATGATGTATCGAACTATGTTTGGATTCCTATAATCTCTTCATCTCTGATTATTTTTGTTTCTTCAGCTGGAATTATGGCCCTTTCAAATACATGTACAATTGAAAATTTTCCGCCAAAGGTTCGATTTATTTATTACATCAATTTTGCTTGGAACATTTTTTTATGCATCTATTTTTCGATTTTTTTTTTATACAGATTCGAACCGCTGGTGTTGTTTTCTATTCTTTGTGCAACAACGCCGTTGCATTTATTGGAGACAAATATTTTCCAATTTTATTAGAAATAATTTTTCTGCATGGTTTTCTACTGTTTCTTGCATTTAATTGCGTCATTGGCTTGTTTTTCATTGCTTTTATGAAGGAAACAAGAGGCAATTCGCTTGAAAGACCCTAGAATTGTATTAAACACAAGCGTCGAGAACGATACACGATTTTTCATAAGTATTTTTTATGTAGGAATACGGAAAGTTGCGAATGACTTAGTTACGCTACATATAAATATATCAAAAAATCGAGTGGTTGACGTAGAAAAAGACTCACTATTTTTCAATTTCTTAAAGTTTATTTAATTAATGTTGCAGAAAATAAATAATGTCAGATAACGATTAAATTTTCTTAATGCGTGAATCACACAATAAAAAATGATCATTAATCATTGGATGAAAATCAAATCCGTAAGAAATGCAAAATTCCATATATTGTTGCCATGCCAGTAAATGTCAAACTTCTTAAGTGGAAGCTGTCGAAGCGGTGGAAGCTGTAAAACGATCAAAAATTGTATATTAATTCAAAGTGTTGATATAAATCGATAAAAAATGAACACTTTATTTACCGGTTGAAGCAGTTGAAGCAGTTGTTGCAGTTGTTGAGCACCGTTTTCGTCTACAACATTTCTTGCTCTTACATTTTCGGCTACGGGAGCATTTGCTGCATTTGCTGCATTTGCTGCATTTGCTGCATTTACTGCCACTTACTTTCGATCTCTTAACTTTAATACATTTATTCTTTTGAAGGCTGCTACTTGATCGTCTTTTTGATCGTTTTCTTAGCGCATAAGCGATCGGGTCGGCAAGTGCCTCTGCCTATAGATGTCACAAAACCCAAATGTTAATATATTTTTATTATGATGACATTTTATTAACTATTAAGATCGATCATAATACGGGGTATTACGATGCGTATCAATTGATAAATATACAGATGTAATGCAGAATTGCAAATGAGGCATATAACTTTGGTATTATAATACTTGATACGCATCATAATACTACTTTACTCATCGTATTATCAAAGATGTTAATAGTTAATAAAATTACCTCTGGTTCGGCTTCAGGATCGGCCAAAGCAAGTGGCTCTGCTTCAGCATCAGCAAAAGCCAAAGCCTCAGGTTCAGCGTCTGGATATGCGATCGGCTCACAGTAAGCGAGCTAATTCAATAAATAAATCGGATTTTCGTTAAATAAAATATTTTATTGAAAATAATTTGCAGCTTACCACGAACGAAGTCGCGAATAAAAAAATTACAATCTTTGACAACATTTTTAATGTGATTTGATTTGCTGATTTGAATTGAATGATTAAATCGACTCATGTGCTGTATTTTTATACCAAAATTATTACTAATTTCGCTGAAGTGAATCACATTCATTTGGACTAGATTTGGAAGTAAATTTAATAATAAAACTATGGTCCTATTGTTCATGTCGATATTTATTTTATTTGAAAAGTTTTCTATCTAGGTGGTCTGATACCAATAATTAAAGTAAATGAAAAAACACTTGTAACTTTTGTTTTCTGCTTGAACATATTTTTCTTTAACAACCGACATCAATTTGTTTGTACAGTTTGAACACTTGAAAAGTAAACATATATATGGACTTCAGAACTAATCTTTTAAATATCGTTATTTATAGATGACCTCACTAAATTCAATGGAAAAAAAATTAGGTTTTCAATTGGAATGAAGAACTTCACTCAATTTAATTATACTGCGTACTGAAAGAGAAAAGTGAAAAAGAATAGTTATCCAGTGAGAATGTTAAATAACAAATCGTCTTCACATGTTTTTCAATGTCATACAAATTGCAGCTGATATCAAGTTGATATCATCAACTGATCTGATTAAGATGGCTGAAAATATTCAAATACAACGCCTATACTATTGGCTAATCATTCATACAATGAATTCAACAAATTTATTTTGATAATTAATGTGACGTCAGATGATAACAATAACAATAACTTCCAACGATTTCTGGCATTATAATCTATTGCAAAAATATTTCATAACTGAGATTGATATCTTAATATTGATAAAACAATGATGTGCATAACACAAAGAAACAGAGGTATATGAGAGCAGAATAAGTGAAATGAAGTATTTTTGACCCAAAACTACTTCATATTCAGATATATATGTTAGCTCCGAATGTAATGTAACCATCAAGCAATACTGGTAAAAACCAGTTCTTTTTATAATTGATTGAATTAATTTGATTGTCATTCAAAATAAAGAAATAAATTGCAGACAATATATTGAACTAACTGGTCAACTGAGCTTCCGTATGTTAGCCAGCTAAATGGGGTAAAACAATAAAGGTTATTGTTATAATGATGAATCACTTCTATTGTTTTAATAAAAGTAATTGATCATTATAATAATAACTTTTATTGTTTTAGCACATTTAGCTGGCTAACGTACTGTCAGCTCAGTTGACCACTTAGTAAAATATATTGTCTGATAAATTGATAAACATTACTGCAGATCCTATGAACATATATATTTTGAACTTGAATTTTGGGAATCATTTTGACAAACGTTGCGAAATAAGACCAATTTGTCTAATCTTCGCAACAAAAACAGATATATCATTGAGATAAAATATTTCAAGATTGTGATAAGTATAACAGAAACAAATTGAGTAGACGTTTAGTTATCTTCGCTTTTTTTGAAAGTATATGCGACATTGATAGGTTCGTTTTCGAATGATATTATGAAAACACTTCAATAAAATTGAAAAGAAAATCATTTATTTCGGTCCAGCGAACTTAATCATACTGAGTCATGGATGCACTATTGGTTGGCTCTCTCCTGCTTTGTTGGTTCTTCGCTCGGAAAATCTTTTGGTTATCACAAGGGTTATCAGTTCATTTTGCTAACACATTTTATCATATGTTAATCGGAAGACTTATATCTGCAAATTATCAATGTTAATTGGTATGCACGTGGAAGGGAGTAAGTGTTGAAGCAAGTTTTAGGTTCATATTGAGCAGCAGTAGTAGCAGGCATCCTTCTTTTTGTGAATATGCTCCATTAAACTGAAAAGTTCACTGAAATTCATAGTGAAGAAAGGATTGAAGAAATTTTGAGTAGTTTAGAAGAAAATTCTTGCTGTTGCACTTATTCAAAAAATTCCAATAAAAAAGTGAATGTATGTTTTATACCCTTTATTAATCGAAAATTGACAATGAAATATTGAACCAAATAATCTTAATAACGTCCATTCTGATAGATTCAGATATAGCTATTGTTCAGTAATATACAATATACATTATATATACATTATACATATTGATTTGATTAAACATCGAATCTAATACTCTGAATCAAGTAGCAACAAAAGAAGTAAAACAAATCTATTCATGTGTTGGCCACTTTTCTCATTGTGTAACTAATATGAAAAATACGTATATTGGTCATTAAAAAGTGTTTATTGACAAATAAACAAAAATTACAAATGTTTAGTGTTTGCTTTGGTCGTTGTCACCGAACCGGACCACCTCAATGATTTTTTTTAAAAAGAAGTTTGAAATAGTTAATATCATAACTCTGCCAAAATAAAAAAATAAAGTAAACAAAAATCATTTAAAACGACTAGTTTTATTTACATTTTCCTTAAAATCTGGATCAAATAAATTTGATTTGTTATTTCGAATTTGTGTAAATAAGTTTAACTAGTGAAAAATGCCATGACCGAAATAGTGATTTTGATATAAAAGGGCAGTGCTTAAACCGATTTCATCATTCGATCTTCACTTTCATTAAAAAGACATATCGAGCTATAATCAAAATGTTGTCAAAGACATTATTTTTGCTATTCGCAACTTCGTTCGTTGTAAGTATAAAATAATTTTTTTATTTTCTCTTGCTATCAAGCTTAATGACTTTGTTTGATTTTTAAATTAGCTTGTTCACTGCTCGCCAGTTGCAGAGCCAGAAGCTGATCCAGAGGCGTTGGCTGTGGCTGATGCTGATGCTGAGGCAGAACCACTTGCTTTGGCCGATCCAGAAGCTCTTGCCGACCCAATCGCATTTCCACTTAAAAAACAAGCCAAAAGACGATCAAGCAGTAGCCTTCAAAAGAACAAATGTATTAAAGTTAAAGTAGAAAAGGTTCGTAGTTCATCGAAATGTTCATGCAAGAAAGGCAAAAAATGCCGTAAATGCAGAAAATGCCGCAGATGCAGCACCACTGCCACAACTGCCTCTACAGCATCAACTGCTTCAACTGCTTCAACTGCTTCAACCGCTTCAACCGCCTCCACTTAAGAAGCATTACTTTGACCGGCTTTTTTCCTACTTTACATACGATTATGTATCTTATTTAATTTACCTACAATGGATTTACGAATTTATATCATCAAACACCATTATTTATTTCCTTATGTACACGATAAACAGGCTTAACCTGTATAAATAAAAAAAATTGCATTTGAAAAGAACAAACAAAATTGGTTTTATATTCATGAAGACACTCATTACAATGTAAATATTCCATATAACACTGAAACTCTTAAAATATATCTTATTTTCTCTCACCCTTTTTTATACTTGGAGTTAATCTTTTTGTCGTTAAAAGAACACTTCTTTGCTATTCATTCACGTAAAACGTTTCTGTTTATTGTTTGTAGCTTTGAATTCTGCTAACATCAGACATATTTTATTTGGGTATGATTGACGTGGAATTATAAATCAATAAAAATGTACAATAAATATTTTACTTTAGGAATAAAAAGCAAAAAAAAATTGTTTATTCCAACAAAAAGAATCAGGTTGGTCAACATTTTATTCTAACCAATTATCTTTAATTTTTACTGAATGCATAACAGGATTTGTATTTAAGAAGAAACATACGAATGCACAACCTAAAATTGAAAAGATTCTAGTATGTTTTGTGATTGTTGTTCCATTAGTGGATTAAAACATTATAATCTACCAAAATTCCGATTTTAGAATCCCCAAAACACTATTGTTTGATTCTATTTGCTATAGAAATAAATGTTAACGGATGCATGTTTCGGTTCAATTACTTATTCTAATTTGACATAATTGAGGTAGTAGCATACGATGCAAAAAATACTATGACTCTCAACAACGACATCTAACGAATTTTCCATGTACGAAGAATTATGTTCGTTTCAATTCATATTAAACATTCGAATGACACTTTCATTTAGCCAGTCAGAATCATTTTCGGTTTGTTCTGAATTGTTCGCTATTTCGTTGATTTTTCATTCGGGTTCATTTCTTATAATTTTTGTGACATTTTGCGATTGATTTTAACTTTGTGGCAAAAGTTGAAATCATTCGGAAAATACGTCCACCACGCATTTGTTTAGAATGTAAACAATGGCAAAATTATTTAATTTTGAATAATAAATTAGTTGACGCACCAATTTGGGAGAAAGCACAGAAGAGTGTGATCGTATTTAATATTCCGTTTGTGTGATGACTGTCAAACTGTCCCGAAGATGCGGCATGTCATTTGAATGTTCATCGTCCAATTTGCCGTAGAGGAGGCGACAGTATCACTCCGATCATCATCACAGTCTTTTGACAACGGTCAAAACATTCAGACTTACAATCAGTTCAGCAGTTCGATACGTTTAATTAGTGTACATGAGACCATCCAATTGAGGATTCATATCAAGATCAAAAATTATCGTCGAATCAAACACAGAGTATATCAAATATTCCAATCGACGCCAAGTACTCGTTTTTCTTAGATAAATAAAAGAATTTTATTTGGCAATCGTTTGCGGCACCTGAAATCAGAAATGGCAGCATCGTCAGTGGCTGGTTCGTTTTTGGACGAATTAGATTGGTTGCAGTGCACATTTTGTGCTCAAGAATTCACGCGAAAAACCACATTCTTCTTTTTGTCATGCAACAAAGTAGCTTGCTCTGGATGCGCCCGTCGAAGTAAGTAAAATTTTTCGCGAAAAATATCATTTTTGAGTTTAAAAAAAAAACTTGAACAAAATACAAAAATGAATTAATCAATGTCATCAATTTTAGTGAAAAATGGCATGAAAATCGATTGTAATATTTGCAAACGAACCGTCAGCGTGTGTCCAATTCGTGATGACGTAAGATGTTTATATATTTTTCCCCGTTCCAAACAAAAGACAATCATTTTCATTGTTTTGATTTTGTTGTTTAGATGCCAGCAAACATCCGAAAAAAGTTCTCTAACATCGAAAACTTGTTCGACGAAGTAGTTCGTATCGCTGATTTTCAACTCGATTTGCATCAACAGGCCATTCAATATCAGGTATTTCGGTCGTTGCCTATTTTTATCCTTCAAGCATTATATTTTATTCAAAATTATTGTTTCGTATTATTTTAGCGGGAACGATTGAATAATGTGAAAGAACGGGAAGCAGAGGTGCGTGCTGGCAATCAACAACATATGCAAGAGCTTGAAAAAGTCATGGACATGACCAAAAAGTACCGCGAACAAATTCTAAAGGTTATACCCGAAGATCAAATGAATGCGCTTTTGGAACTCGATGAAACAGAGTTGAATGAAATGGACATTATGCAGGTCATCGGACCATTGCGGTCTGGTTCATCAACATCATCACGCCGACGTTCTATCGATTCATCACCGATGGATATGCAACATTTTGGTGATGCTAGTTCTTCGCATTTGAGCAATGCGTAAGTCAAAATGATTTGTTAAATTTGCTTGCCATTTATCATAGTTTTTCTTTGTTAGTTCCACGTCAAATGTGGCCAACTTGCGAGACATGGATCGACACGGATCACCAAATATCCAAGGCCATTCATTTGGAAATGATGCTGGTGTGAATCAACATCGACGTCGTTCTACTTCACGCGACACCTCAACACCAGCCATAGTTCCTGGAAAAATCGGGCCTCGAAATCGCTCGCGCGAGTCTCGTCGTTCGGGCTATTATCGTCGTTCGCGCGAGTGTCGTAAGTCACGTGAATCACACCAATAACTGGAAGAACAACGCAACTCTTGTGATCAAGAAGATGCTGAAAGACATTAGGCTATCTCAAAATAACTACGAATTACTAAACCGAGCTAAATTTACTTAAACATGTTTCAATTCGAATCACATTTTCGAGTATATGAAAACAATTTTCACATCTCACATTTATGTTATAGATTAAGATTCAAAAAAAAAACAACAGAATTCTCCAAATAATTTGGAAAGTAGCAATTACTTGGGTCTATTTAAAAACAATGTACATTATTGTACAATGACATACTTTAATATTTTCTCAATGAATTTGAAAAATTAAACTTCAATATTTTAAAAACAATAAAGACCAATGAAATCAAACCAAGACTTTTAATGAAAGAATAAATGAAGGAAATGTATCAATGACAACTTTAAATCAGGTCAGTTGACATTCCGGTGACTTTTGTCGTAATGAAATGTATACTTACAAATTAAAAGGTTCTCGGAAAAGAGACAATCAAAGGCAAGACACCCGCAATATATGAGATGGACATTTGTGACACCATTTTTTTTATTTGTAATTTACATTGAATTTTACAGCATTTTGGATATTTTAAATGTTCAAATACAATGTCTAGTATATTTGGTTTTTATTTTTGTCGTTATTGATAATCAATGTTTGTTTGCAAATATCACAATGAAATGAAACATGAAAATGGGCTAGTTTGTTTATAATCAATTGATTCAAGAAAATGAACAAAAATTATTGAAATTGTTATGTACATGCATAAATCAAGGCAAAACGGAATCGTTTGTAAAATGGTCTTTGAATTAACAATTTTTCTTTGAATATTTGTGTGTTCGGAATAATCATAAAGCTCGAGTTCAAAGAAAAAAAAAGAACAATGAAAGCTATGGTTGGTCGAATATTTTGTTAGATGAGGGATTCTTTCTTTCGTATAAAAACACATTCAATTCCACACTCTTAGCTAGCTAATAAGGCATTTCATAATACACTACAGCACTTTGTCTGCGCTCGCATCCACCCTTAAATCTCATTTGATATTGCTTATGTCTATTCTGTACGAAACATGATAAATTTATAATAATAAAGGGTAAACAAGCAATTCATTGTGTAGTTTTGGTTTGAACAAAGCCAGATAATAAATAATAATATTAATAATGGAATAATTTCACTAAATTCGAGAGCATCTTAATCAAATGATGTAAATAAGTTTTTTTTTGCAGCCATTGATTTGATATATAGAAAGGATTGCAGTTTCATCGATAGAAATGTGGTGAAAGTTTATCGTTTAGTTGAATAGGCAGCTGGACGTGGAAGAGCACTTCTTCGAATTTGATTGGGTTGTCGTAAAAGTGAAAGTTTCGGCTGAACAAGTCCAGTGTTACCATTTGCTGTACTCAAACGTGATGGCACATTCGATGTCTTTGCCAAAGACGGCTGAACAAATGTTATGTTCGTACTTTCATTCGCTGCGGCAAATGATTCTGGCGTTTCTCCGCGACTCAAACTGCTCTTTGAACTACCAGACGACAGGCTCTGTAATTGAAAACGAAAGTTAGACTCAATTTGACAAAATCAAATTAAAAAATGGCTTATTATTTCGATTGTTTGTCGAAAATCTTACATTATTCGATGAAAATCGACCCAAATCAGAATCTGAATCGGTTCGTTTTGTATTGTAGCCATAGTAACCAGACGAAGGTCGAACTAAGCCCAATTTTCTCGGTTGACCAACAGCATCTGGTCGTGATCGCATTGTGATTGACGCTTTTGGTGCCGGAACTTTGAACGTATGCGATGACTGCAAATGAATAAAAAAAATAATAATCAAACAAATGTACAATTTTTGAATCAAAATCTCTAAACCGCTCTAAAATTACCAAATTTGAATTTCTCGTCGATGACGATTGTTCGATGTCTGCAGCATCTGATCGATTTGTGGTCAGTTTTGATGTGTATTTGGCCGTTGAAAGATTGTGTATTGATTTCGATTTGATACCCATCGGACTTTTGATTTGTTGAACTGGTTTGGAATGCGTTTTCGCAAGATGTTCATCGCTTAATAAAAGTTCGTGTGAACTTGATTTGCTGCTGCTGTAAAAATCACGTTTTACCAGACCACTCAATTGACGCGGCCGTGCCAATCCAGATTTTTTAAATGTCATGGTATTAATTGCCTTGGCAGTTGCTGAAATTGCTTCTTCAGTCTGTCTTTGTTTCGGGGAATTTGTGTTTTTGGTTGCAAACACATCCATTGATCGAACAGTGCGTACGGGTGATTGCATTTCTTCATATGCCTCACCTGGATCTGGTATTTGAATTGCGTTTTCCGGTGGTCGTTTGAAAATACGAATGGTCTTAAAACGATCTCTGTTGTTCGCTTTGTTTTCGGCACTGCTGTCATCGGTGTTGTAAATGGGGTTTGTCGCAGTTGTATCAGTCTTTGGAGAATAGTCCTTTTCAAGGTGTTGTTGATTTTTTTTGTTTAATGTTTGTGTGGAATTCAGTTCATTCGCTTGTTTATTATCATTGTATCCAATGGAAGAGCTACTGTGTTCCATAGCACCATTGTCCGTTATCTTATCGGTTGACGTATTTATAACATCATCAAATAATCGACTTCGACGAAGCAAACGTTCTCCACTGCCACTCGATGATGATGTTGACGTAATCATGGGCGAACGGATAGTTGTGTCATTCAATCGATTCTTTTCACTTGAACCAAACTCTGAGTATTTTCCATTTTTTGATGTGTTTAAAGTCTTTTCTCGATTCAATTCGTCATGATGTTGCTTCTCCATGCCAATCAATGAATGACGCTTTTTGATATTATCCAATGATTGGCGCACCTTTTGGCTGAGCGGATTTCGAATATTTGAACCAAAGCTATTCAGTAAATCATCAAACTCTTCTTCGGTTTTATTATTCTCCAAAATGAGCATTGTATTTTCAAATTCTTCGAATTTCGCCAAAGATTCACGTTCTTTTTCAATCAATTCCGTATTTATTCCGGTTGGATTTGATGCACGGGCTGCATTTTTTGTCACTGATTCTCTCAGATACACTGGAACATCTTCGATTTCGATATCAACAAATTTATCAAATTTGTCAACATTTGGTGTGAGATTCTTTTTCTTTTCAGACAAAATCGGTGATAGCATTGTTAGTGAATCAGATTGACGGTTTTTTCTTATCTTTCCAGCGGCGGGTGTTGATTGGTATTCTGAAAAAAAAAAAACACACACAATGTTTGATGAATGATTGTTTTGTTTGTTTTGGACTCAAAATCCATGACGATTTATCATGTTTTGAATCATCATTGAATTGTATGAAAATGACTCACCATCTAGTTGAAATGTTGAATTCATATCGGGATTCAAAATCTTTGTCGCATTGAGTGAATCGCATAGAGCTAGTTCTTCATCATCCAAATCGGAAACCACTGGTATTGTAATGCTTAGTTTATTCGATTGCGTTTCAAATGTTTGATTATTGGGTTTGATGGCCAATTCGAATGTGCTATTTTTTATCGATACATTGGCCGATGGTGCTCGAATAAATGTTTTATCCACTTCACAACTTGCATCGAACGTTCCATTTGCATTTGTTGTGGGCGCTGAGAATGTTCCATCATTTTTCGTGACCAAATTGCTTGTGCTGTCGGTTGAATTTTGTAATGTGCTAGTACTGGAACCAGTGCAATTTCCATTTTCGATTAAATCCACATTATTGATGTCGGCATCTTTTGTAAACAGACTTTCATCATAATTAGTCAAACGCTCTAAGAAATTACGGTCGGCAATTGCATCGGAGAGGCGATATTGTTTGAAATTTGCAATGGCCAAACTATCACCGGTCTCATTCATGAAATCGATATTTGAAAAGTCATTGCTGGTTATCAAACTATTTCCCATTGAATTATCCATGTGCAATGGCGGGGAAACATCGCCCAATAGACTTCGTTGCATGCTACTCGTAACCAAACCACCGATTTTTAGATCGATCTTTGGTACTGGCATGCCTGATGACGATGCTGTTGCCACTTGATCACTCGACTGCAAATTGATTCAATTAAATTATTGCCATAAAACAATTGAGTCGTTTTATCAATACTCACCAACTCATCGCTGGAAGATTTATTTGAAAATGTACTGTTTACATCGGTGCATGGGAAAAGTTTCTTCTTAGGCCGAGTAAATGTTCGTGTGTCCACATGTTTTAAATCTGAAAATTATGCGATTATATTATTTAGAAACCTATGTCAATGGTCATTGTGTACAGTATATACACAGAATTTTTTTTAGTATCTATTGATTTTTCATAGGTACTAAGCGATTAGTATTATATCGATTTTGTTTACGGTAGTTAAGGTTCAATTTTACCTTTAAATTCGGTGGTTTCATGATTACGTTTCCATTGATCAACAATATTTTGGATGTCTGTGTCTGATGACAGCCTAAAATTCGAACCGAAAAAAAAAATCACATTAATTTCTCCTCTCCAACATGCGATGAATAATGCATGAACTTTTTTATTATTATGACCATGAGACTATTTATTTTGTGCATTTGTATATGTGAGAGTGGCAAAGAAGAATAGCGAATAAAATAATGTTTCGACACAAATATGGTATATAATTGTTGCTGCATGTTTTCTCTTTCGCCCACACAAGCACGCATTGTTTATTCGTGCCATCGGATCACCGCGCACAATTGAGCACAAATCAATGAGGTTTTTTCTCATTGTTAGCAATTTTTTTTGACGAAATTTTCTTCCGATTCTTGGCAAAAAATGTCATCGCATACCATCCAAAACAAGTTTTTCTACACAAAGTTGTTTTAACAGATGTCATTTTAGAAAACCCACACACAGAGCACAATATTTTGTTTAAAACTTGTAATTTATGCGAACAATCTATTCTTTATGTGTCGATACATTCATTTTATTGTAAATCTACAAAATGGTTTTCTTGAAAACTTGAATGGTTAAAAATCAAGAATAATAATGGTATTACTCACGAAAATAGTTCACATTCATCATCGATATTTATAATGCTATCATCCATTATGTTGTTTGGTCAGGTCACCAAAAAACTGTGTGATGTTTGTGTGTTAGTTTTTTTCTTACTCACTTTCTCTGTGTGTTTCATCAAATTATTCGGTCGTCGTTAGGTCTGCAGAAGCAAAAAAAAAAATAATCAAAGATTCATATGATTAGTTGCATAGTTTCTTTTTTTTTATTGCAGCGGAGGTGGGAAACAAAACAAAGAAACAATTTCCAGTGATGAAACACAGCAGAAATTGCATATGCGTGCCAATGCGTTATTTTCACTGCACCAAGATTTTTGTCTTAATACATTTCAACACACGATTTGCATTTGTTGTTGTTTCAACATGTATATACAATCACTTAAATTAGAACTAGCGAATAAGAGTCGTGCACTACACAAACGATATAGATAGAGCGAGGAAAGAAGAAAAAAAAAACATCAAAGCGATTCTAGTATGTGTATGATGTTTTCTCTTGAACTGTACAACTATTAAACTGCTCTTCTGAGTAGAATAAAACAAATTCTTCTCTGGGCGCGGTAGATAGTTCGTTGTCTTACCATTTGCTGGATTTTTTTCGACTCATTTGTGATAAGTTTATCAATTTGATTTTATATTGTTGTAACGAACAGACAGAGAAAAAAAAACAAAATACGACGATTCAACAAAAAACAAACTTCACAATCATAATACAATTTAACACTAAATTTATTGTGATATGATTGACAGTTCGACCAACATAGCCATGCTCAAATCTGCTTGACAAAATGAATGGGACAAATCCATGCAGTACTAGATGCGCACTGTCAAATGTCAAATTCCTTCACTTCACATTCTCATTCAAACGCATTTCAAATGTGATTTACGTTTTTAACGTTTTTAATATTTTGAATTGAATCCAGATCGTACAAGTTCAGTCATTCTTATTTGAATACAGTCATTTCAGCGAATTTGTTTAACCAAACAGAATAAGTTTGAAAGAGCGAAGCAAACAAAAGATAGAAACAAGTTTGTGTACATAAGTCATTAGCTCGGGGCAATGGTCTGAATCATATTGATATTTTTATCAATTTTTTTTACTTACGACATTCGATTGGATCATATTTTTTCTTCATTCTCTTTTTAATGTTTTAACATATGTTTTTGAGCATTGAATTATTGAAATTAAGCATACACTTATGCTTTTGTCGTGAAAATATGTTCGTTTGAAAACCAAATGTTCATTTAAAGAAGAATAATAAAGATAAAAATGTTATATCTCCTGTCAAATGTCGAAAGAGAAAATATGCAACTGTGTTAAATTGAACATATTTGTTTTAGCGACAATATTATTTCTACAATGTGATTGATATGTTCTAAATATGCTTTATTGGTTGCATCCGATGTTTGAAGTGTTTTGTCTGATACTTGATTCAAGGTTAATACAGTAACATAAGCGATGTATGTAAACTTGACAGTTTTTCGTATTTAATTAGTGTTTCGTACTCACTGTGGCATTGTTATTGTAATTGACCTTGTAAGAGATTTATAAGAGTCGATACGTCACCTTTTCACAAAGTACGAACAACACAAATTGCGTCCAATGCAAACTCCACTTTACTCATTGCTTATTCAAAATAAATACTGTTGTCAAAACATAATTTTTATAAATGCGCTTTATTATTTTTGCAAAGAATTCATTATAAAAGATATGCTTTGTAATATTTCAAATTGAATTCGCACTATTTATGAATGTTTACGTTGAATTGACCTTTTTCATAACAAATTTTCGAAGACAAAGAATTCTTTCTATCCTTTACGATTGGCTGGTGTAGTGGCTGCTGCCGCAGCCGCGGCGGCTTGATCTGGTGCCAATGATGGTTTCGGAAGTGTGAATTTCGGAGCATTTTGATCCTGAGATTTTTGTACAAATCGATACCACCGATCAAATTGTGTTACATCAACGCCACTCCAGGCACTATCTTTGTAGGTACGAACGAACTGTTTGTCTGCTGCTTGCCAGAAAAGACTTGCAACTGGTCGACTTTCAGCATCAAAAATAAGAATACCATAATAGCGACAATCTTGTGATGGTGGACATTTTTCAGATGGCGATGTCCAAGACGATGTCACCAATTCCTTATTTATATCAGATGCATCGTATGCCGTTCGGAATTTCAGCACAAATGATTTATCTGCAAATGCCATACCTTCACCGGCCAACACATTGTCAAAACCTTTTTTCAAATTCTAAAAATTAAACAGAAAAATGTATCAATATTAATAAATCGACACCACTTCGAAATGATTATTGTAATACACACATTTTTAGATCCATCAAGCCAATGATTCCAGCTTCTCCATGTAAATATTCTTGGTATATTTGTGGTAACATGATCAACAATACGTTTTGCATCGACTAAATGTAGTTTTCCCAAATCCCATCGCGTACCATTTACATCGGTCCAAATTTGATTTGTTGATGACGCAACATTATTTTGATTTGTTGCCGTATTTTTTTGACCCGCTGGCAAATTAATTTGATCTTGTGCTAAATTTGGTCGAACAACAGCAGCATTATCGGCATATATGCCAATCACCAACACACATGCTATCACACAGATTATTGTTTTCATACTTTTTTTCGTTTTGCTTATACAATACACCAGTTATCACATCAAGGGACAATGAGAGACTAAACTTATTTCAAGCAAACACATGACTTTTTATACACACTGTGTCGAGCGGTCACTTAATCGTTTTATTCATTTATCAGTACATATACAACGTATAAACGGAAGACACAATAATTTCGAGTTTGACAAGTTAAAATTTGTGGCGCAACCGTATACGGTGGTGTCGTGTTCAACGTCAATTCACACCACAATATTTCAAATTCAAATTAGATGACCATAAATAATATCTGAAATATATACGATATACCTGTAAATCGTAGAAAACTAGAACGCAAACCGGTCATCAATGTTGAATGTAATAAAGAGAAATTGACAAAGATTTTCGATATGATTATTTTTGTAATTTTATTGCTATATTATCAAAGGATAGAAAAGAAGCGATATAAATTCATGCTTATAATCATCGCTCTTATTTTATTTTTAAATATAAAGCGAATTTTATTAAATAAAGTAAAAAACTTGTCTATCATTACAAATAAAAAAAAAGTAAAAAAACAAATTCTTTTCTAGAGAAATTATGTTGCGACTTACCATAGAGCGTACATTCGAAATAAAAAGTTTACTGCAATCTAGACTGTAATAAGAATTTCCCCATCAATAATTTATTATAGTGAGATTCAAGAGATATCCGCAAACTAAGTTTAAAAATAAAAATGCTTTTTTTAACTTTTCTTATTAATTCTGTTTATTTATTTCAATGTATCATACAATTTGTTTGTTTGTTATTTTTTTCTCTCTCAATAATTTGTTACGCTTATTATATATGACAGTATAGTTAATCAGTTGAATGTCCGAGAATGAAAACGAGACTTCTATCCACAACTTATTTAAATGTAACGCCACCATACAAAAAGTCAAGACTGTAATTAAAAATTTTGTATGGTGATGTTACATTTCAATAAGTTGTGAATAGAAGTCTCGCTTTCATTCTCGGGCAATCAGTTTGTAATGTGTTTTTATACAATTTTTTTTTTTAGATTGGAACTGTGTTTGTAAATTGTTATTTAGTTCAGATTTGTTGTGTGTTGTAGTTGCTTTGCGAGTATGCAAAATTGTGAGATTTTTTTTCTTCCGAAATAGGTGTTTTAGTTTAGACAGAGTTTTGTCATGAGTGTATTGTCGATGATGCGATTGGGAACAGATGTATTGAAAAAACTAAACTGAACATGATGGGAACCGAAGGAAAAACAAACACAATAGAAAATGGCGAGTAAATGTAGTTTTAGAAAACGTTTGTTTTGATTTATCACGTTATTCTGTACAAATAAAAGATTAATCTTAATAGATACAAATTACTGTGCTAACTAAATTTAAAACCTAATCAAAAAAAGTGATTCTGCAATCTATATTGAGACCTCAACCATAGCAGCTGATCTGCTGGAGCGGAACGGTTATTATTTAAATCAAGATTAATATGAATTAAGTGTGCGTTTGTGATTCTACAACTGTGAATATTTGTTGAGGCGAAAAACTAAAGGTCGACTCGGTGATTTAATGACGGATGATATGTTAAGAATCATCAAAATATGGCTTTTGAAATCGTAAATTTATTGTTGCTTTCCCATCGCTTGGAACAGTACAAATTGACTATATAAAAAGACTACTAGATGTTACATTGCTCATTCGATTCTCGATTTAAATTCAGTAATTTCGATTGATATAATTTGCAAATTTGATATGGCAAGAAATTAATTGGACTCATTTCTTTCTCTCTCTTTTATGAACACCGGAAATAGCAGACGAAATATTTTATTTGACTTTTATGTTGTGGTGCACAAATATAGTTATTTAATGAAATGGCAAAGAAAAACACGGCAAATTTAAGGTGATGGAAATTGATTTAGAAGAAATGACTGCATACAATTTTCAAATCGTTTTATTTGTTTGAAAAGGGGAAAAAAAAGTGTTGAAATGATCAAAAAGCCGATGAAATGAAATGAATTGAAGCGAAAGCTGAAAAGATTGTTAGTGGTAATCGACTTTGAGCGCTTACACGCCATTTATGCTATTGTATACATATATTTTGTCACATGATTTTCATTTCATAATTTCAATTTTTTGTTTTGTTTGTTTTTCATTTGTGTATTTCATCAATAAATCTCTTATTCATTGCGATTATCTTAATTCACGATTTCAACAATTGTTTGCTTACGAAGATACAGAGTTTTTTTTCATTCTTATTCAATAAATTTATACTAGCAATTCTTAGACGAATAAATGGTTTTTAAGTTCGAAATTTCGTACGAAAGCGAATTTCATTTGGGGAGAAAAAAAATCATGAAATTTCCCAGAATGTTTCATTTTTGAAATAATTTTGTTGTTGCTAACCATTTTGAATTTTATTTAATTTTGCATTACATTTATTTCACTCATTAAGCTATAGTTCCTTATCCTATGGGCTATCGATTAAGTTTTTCTATGCAATTACTATCATCGATCTTAATACTTTGCTTTATACACGTTTCGTCTTCATCCTTTTTGTTCAAGTCTTATTCAGTTTGCATAAATTTACATCTCGCGTTAACACACGTATTATATATATAGTCCACTCATAAATGCTGAGTTTCATCTACACAAGCATTTTGTAATTGGGTCGATTGTGTTTGATTGTGTTTGAATGGATAACAAAATGAAAATTGTGGTCACTGGAAACAGAAGTTGAAGTTATAGAATTATTTTTTATGGAATTTGAACATTTTGGAAGACTATTGCTCAACTGAAAAGATTCAACAGAAGTGATTGTTTTTGTAGTTTATGGAACTGTTTTGTTTTTATTTTATTTGTATATAAAAAAAGTGTCGGTATGTGTGATTTGAACTTGGTATCTTTCCTGTCTCTCTCCATTCCCCAATTGCAAAAAAAAAAAGTTTACAATTTTTTAAATGAAGAATTGACAATTAATATTGTTTGTTACACGTAATAATTCCTCTTAATCTTAATTTTAATTTCTCACATAATTAATTTTTCTTTAATATTAGATTAACCACAAATATTTTAGATCGAACTCCGACTTCCCAAACATTTCCGGACTGATGATATCCATGGATTTAGATACATCCAGAAGCTTACATTACTAAGACTTTCACACTACAATTTTTCAGCAACAAACAGTCTGGTTTCGTTTAAATGGCTAATGAGTTTAATAATAATTACTAATTGTTTTTTTTTACAGTGCTATCAAATATATGCGGAGTAAAATGTCTCCGACAATGTTCGACGATGTTTTCTCATCGAAATTTTGAAATTCATTTGTGATTGTTCTGTTTTCTCTCTAATTGAATCTTAGAGTTAAATGTCCGTTTTTTTTCGTCAAAAAAATAAAAACATAACTTAGAACATAGAATTCCATAAGTTTTTTCTTTTGCTGGTTAAGCTTGGTTTTCTTGATATATAGGTAAGTTTAGATGGCAAATATGTTTGTTCCAACATAAATCTGTGAATTTAAATTCGAGTCGTTCACTTCGGTATAGTTGCGCAAAAATAAAACATAAAGCGGCTGGTTTGGAGTTTTACACAAATCAATTTGCATAATGATCGAATGATCCCAGGTATTCAAGTGCGGCTCGGTGTAAGAATTGGAATTGATCCTAATAAAATAAATTAAAGTGAATCAGATATTTTCTACAAAGTATTTTGAATTTGAAGAAATACCTCTGTTTGCACCATGGCCGGTCGCTGTGATCGAAGTATTCGAACTGTTTGGAAAACATCTAACACACCCTCATACTGCATACGTTCCAGAACAATACTCAATGATATAAAAACGCCAGTTCTACCTACGCCTGTAATACAATCAAATATTCATATTTTTAGAAGATTCGAAAGTGGAATTGTTCATTTTTTTCATCGAAATTTATGCGTTCATTTCAGATTTTCACACATTTAAGTTTAGAAGATCTCAGAATTGAATGCCCTTACCTGCACTACAATGAACTGTGATTGGCCCGTCTTGACCAAATTGTTCCTTTGTCTTATGCACTTGGCCAATAAAATCGATGAATCCTTCACCGGACTTCGGCACACCTGTGACGCGAAAAACAATTTCAAAATTAAGAATGAAATTTAATTCTAATAAATGATCATCTTACCTTGTTCAGGCCATTCACAGTACACAAATTGACGAATTGTTCGAGATGAACCATCTCTAGCGTCAGTTACCTGTCAAATATCATTTTTTTATGTTAATTGTACTTATATTCTCTTGCTAAATTCAAAACTTTACCTTAAATTCTCTTAATTTGTATTGCGGCATATTATATTCCGCAATTGGATCAACAACATAATATTGATAACGAACGCTACGTTCGTGCGGCCAATACTGGAAACATTTTTCCTAAAAAAATATCATCAATATTTTAAATCGAAATTGAATTTGAAAGTTTTTTGTGTATCTCATCAACATACTCTTCCCATCTCCTTAAGTTTGGTCAACATAACAACAATGGTTGAATTGTGTTCCCACAACATGCGCCAAAAATCTTCGGCCGTGTCTTGTAACGGACCTTGTGCAGCAATGTAAGCATTTCTATATCGATATCCATCGATGAAACTGGCATTGATATAATCACTACCTTCAACACCACGAATTGGTGCTAAACATACTCGACTCGATTCATATGGCAAAATGTGAACTAAACGATTTTTATGTTTGTTGCACGGCAAATTGGCCGCCACAAATCGCATTGAATCGGCCTTAATGTTTGCCAATTTCTTGAATTCCATTTCCATGCCGGTGATATTTTCGCCAGGTTCAGTTTGCATCAATTTTTGTATATGATTATGTAAATTACGGGCTGGAATATCGAAAGAAAGTCGTTTTAGTTTTTATTTCATGTTCAAGACATTACAAACAACATATAATCAAAATCTAGTTGCTTACCCGGAACTTCAGTGTTACCACAAATGATTGCTTCGAGTATTGCATCGTGTATGAAAATATATTGGTCTTCCGTTTGTACCTGTTTTTTTGGGGGTATAGTATGAAAGTTCGAAGGTTTTAGTGGTTGCTCGTGCATAGATAAACAACTTTGATCAAAACTAGACAAAAATTACCATGTAATTTCGCTGGGCGCGTAAGCACGTAACATGACCATAAATATCAATCGTTTTCTCGTGTTTCATCCGCTCGAGCATTGAATCGATTACAATGTAACAACCAGTTCTCCCGACACCGGCAGAACAATGCTAAATTTTCGATTTAATTTGAAGAAAAAGAGACAAAAAATATATCAAATTCAGTAAATATTCTGTCAAATTCTTAAGAATAGATAAAATTTGCATAGAAATTGTGATAATTAAACTTACAACAACAATTGGACCGGCGTCTGGCATTGACAATGAACGACATCTACGCAAGAATTGTAAGAATGGAGCAGGATGGTCGGGAACCTAAAAAAACGAAGAAAAAATATTAAAAATAGAGAAAAATATTAAAATATATTTTATATTCTTACCCCATGATCTGGCCATGCTGTAAACTGTAATTGTTTAATTTCGCGCCTTTCGATGCTACCTTGTCTCGAAATTTGGAAGGTACGTATGCAATATGTAGCTAATTCTTGTGTTTCCGTTATTGTAACGGTCATTTGATCATAAGTTTCTGTGCCACGTGTCGGCCAATACTGATCACACTTAATCCGAGCGCGTTCCTCCAGACGTGTCATCATAACGATCATATTTGTTCGTAGTTCCCAGCACATTCGCCAAAAATCGCCGCATGTATCTTGTAATGGACCTTGCGTAGCCACATATGCATTATGCTTACGATATCCATCGCAATAATTTGCATTAATATAATCAGAACCGGATTTTCCTTCGATTGATTGCAAAATCACTCGACTATGATCATAGGCCGTTACATTGGCATACCGATTTTTCGGTTTGTTGCTAGATTTAAAATAGATGCAAATAAAAACAATATAAAAATTCTTAATGAAGTACCTAATAATAAAAAAAACAGTTACCTTTCCATATTCGAGTGATCCCACATAAATTGTTGGCCCGGTTCAATGCTCTCATACTCCTGAGAAAATTTCAAGTTATCGTTCGATTTTAAGCGTTCCAAGTGATTGGAAAAATCAGAGATAGCAATTGGCGGATGGCTGACCATGCCTGGTGTTTGGAAATTCAATCGTCGCATATCAACGGGATCGGTTGGTGCTGGTCCTGCACCCAAATCGGCTGCCATCAATGGACGTGTTACGGCAGATTGATCTGCTGCTTTGCATGGTTGACGACGACGTTTAACAATGTAAAAGGCAACAAGGCACGTGCACATTACGATCGCTAATAGCATCGGACCGACGATCCAAACCATTTCGGGTTCTTCGCTATTTAAACCCTTAATCACGTCTATTCCATCGTGTGGCAAATTTGGATTTGGACGATTTGGCGCTTCGCCGGGTGGAGCTTCACGCATATTCAACGATAAAAATTCTGAAAATGGACTCGATGTGTATAAATGCTTTTGCGGTGTATCAACAACGGCACGAACAAAAATGCGATAACGTTTATCTTTTTCCAATTTTTTATTGGTAAAATTGTGCTGCGTTTCGCCCGAACCCAAATGGAATGTGTACGGAATGCCTCGTTGTGGAAATTTGGCTGCAATGTACGGTGTAAGCGGTCGTTCAGATCGTCCTTGTTGTGGTAGGATTTCATCATTCAAAAATTGATCGGGAAGTTTATGCAAATTTGATTTATCCTCTGGTACAACAACTAAGTAATAATGTGAAATTGGACCATATTCCTCGGACGCTTGCGGTAAAATCACTTGAATCTCTTCGCCATTAACAACACCATAAAAATCGGGTTTCACCATTGGTTGTGGTGCAGCCATTTGTGTTGTGACTGTAATTTTTGTCGGCGGTCGATACGAATTGTCATTTGGTATTGCACTCACATTAACATTGTACGTTGTAAACGGCGACAATTCACCAATCATATGACTTCGAATGTGATGTTTCAGCATAATTTCTCGGCGTTGAATATTCTGTGTTTGTGTTATACCTTGACTGTCCACAAATTCTTTGACGGCATCAAAGCTGATTTTATAGCTAATTGGATTCAAACGAATCGGTGGTGACCAACTCAATGACATGGAATGTGTGCTTACGTCATAGGCACGTAAGTTCAATGGAACATCTTCGGGTTTCACTTTCACCGTAATTTTCTCACTCAATCTTCCCAGGCCATTCTTAAATCGTGCCGCAATTGCAATTGCATATTGAGCGAATTTTTCCAAATTCACTAAATCAGCCGATTCAGTAACGCCAACTGATTTCGTTTGCCATTCGTCTAAGTCTTCGATGGCGGTCATTGTGTAAAATATTTGATAGCCAATCAATTTTCCACGTGATGGCACTGCTTCCCACCAAACTTCAACCGTTTGTTCTGACGTGGCAACGGCTTGAACGGTCATTGGAGCTCGGCCCATATCACGTTCAGTTTCGACAATTCGCTTTTCGCTGAACGGACCGGCACCCTGTTTTGTATGCGCACGAATACGGAATACATATTCGGTGTTTTCTTCTAAATTAGTAAAAACAGCTTTGCGTGTGGTTGTATTACGTTCAGTGCCCAAACCATGGTCGATTTTCTTGTGGAATTGTACATCGTAGCGGGTGATTTTTCCATTGCTATGCACTCGGGTCGGTGGATCCCATGTGATGCATACAACATCCGGTGTTTGGAATTGAACTGTAATATTGGTTGGTGAACCATTCGGTATACCCTCTGGTGTTTCCAAATATTTTACTGTTTCTTGGCCAATTCCGATGTGATTCATACCAGCCACACGGAATTCATACTGTACACCACGATCCAAATCTTTAATTTTCTTCAACGTTGAATGTTGCCCATTCAAGACCTCTTCATGGAATTTCTCATCTTTGATGCCCCAACGCAATCGATAGCCACGCAGTTCACCATACGTTTGATTAGGTCGTTCCCACTCTAATTCAATTGAAACAGTCGGATCTCGTTCCAAAATTTTGATATTCATCACCGGACGAACTGGGACACCACCTGGTGTTTTTGCAACAATAGCCGGACTTCGGTCTCCATCACCTTTACGCGTTAATGCTGCCACTTGAACCGAGTACTTTGTGTCCGGTTGCAAGCCACTCACATTGTATTCCAATGCGTCGGTTACATCAAATTTCATAGGTTCGTTGAGGAAATTATTACGACCCTGTTTGAGAAGGAGTATTTTTAACAATAAAATTCGATGCAAAAAATGTTAAAACAAACCTCTTCTTTTGTTTCCTGAACATGAATATGATAACCCATAATGATGCCGTTTCGATCTTTTTCCTGAGGTTGCTTCCAAATGACATGAAGCGTTGTCGAATTAATCGCATTAACTCGTACATCTTGAGGTTCACCAGGCACTGTTTACGTTGAAATATATAAAATCATATCATATTAGAATCTATCACAATAACTGCGTCTTATAATAACATTCAACAGAAAATGTGAAAAAAATGAAGAAACTTATTCAAAACTGAAAATTCTATCGATCGACTTAGTTCGACTTTTTCTATTCAGTTTTTGTTTGTTTGTTTGTTTTAGTTTCTAAATCTATGCGACACTTTCTCTCCTAACTATAGGTAATTATAAATCGAAAATTAAGAGAAAACAACGAAAATCGGGTTAGTTGTTAGAAAAGAAGATCGAATTATGTGTGTGTGTGTATCAGTTCCTATCAATTAGTGAACAATCACAATCAATCACGTGAAAATACCCTTCTGTAACCCTAACATATTTCCTACATTTTTCATTGACCTAACGGGTGTTTGTGCAAATGAATTGCTACACATTTGAATACCAGATCTTGTGACTTTGTCACAATCCCTAACAAAAAAAATCTACAAATTTCTTTTTGTTATTCGAGTGCCAGACGATGACTTAAAAACAAAAATTTATTTCGGTTATTTATTAGAATCGATAAAAAAAAGAAAAAATTTGTAATTATGTCCGGTAAGCTTCCTTTTTTGAATGCAAGAAAAAAGATTAAATTTTGGTTAATAAACAGAAACAAAACGGGAGAAAGAAAAAAGAGAAAAACAAATTAAAGGTCCTCAGCAGGTTGCATGTTGAAGAGAAAAAATATACATAAAAAAGAAATGCACAAAAAAAGAATTTTGTTTTTGAAACAATTGCTCGGTAAAATTATTAAAAATTATAAAAAAATAGTTAGTATTTGTTTTATTATTTAATAAGAAAAATATCCTTATTTCACTCCAACACATTATATGATTGCTGAAACATTTAAACACTAATATCAACAATAAAATGAAAAGTATACAAAAATCTAAAAAAAAACATAAATTATTAAAAATGTTCTTAGACTCAAAAAATATAAAAAATAAAATATATTTTAAATCAGAAAAAATGACGAAAATAAAGGTCAAAGCAAATTCCAAAGGGTGTTTTGAAGCAGCAAAATTCAAAAAACCAGACAACGAAAAATGTCCGTGAAAAATCAAATTTTCACGATACAAAAAACTGTAACAGCAAAACAAAATGGAATAATAACAATAATATACCAATTATCCATGACGGAAAAACAAAATGAAAACACACGCACACAACAAAAACCAAAATATATGATTGCATGGTGGTCATTTACAAAAAAACACGTCATCTAAAAGTTCTTAATTTTATGGTTTCGTCTCGGTACTCACTCTTTACGTCTGTAATTCGTATTTTTGTTTTGTTTTCGGTTTAAGTTTGAAAGGTTTGGGTTTTTGATTTTTATTCGTTTTAAATCCATGTTTGTGCAAAAAAAAGTGTTTGGAAAAAAGTAGTGAATTGCGAAGCCATCATTGACAAACGCGTACACATAGACAACAATGCGTAAAATGCCAAAAACAAATTTATTACGTTTGTTGCGCACGAAGACGACGACGACGACGACGATTTACCGATGTGCAGAAAATCAATTGCCGCAGACAAAATAGTCAGATACGAAAAAAGAGCAAAACAAAGAAAAATACATGATAAGATCATTGAAATCGAATCCAGACAATCTACATTTAATCAAAAATGTTATGGTTGTTTTTTTTTTTAAATCTATGAACAATTTTTTGTTTCGTTTAAAAATTAAGTTGATTTTCCATCGGTATCGCAATCGATTGGCGTCTCCTCCTGTTTATGTTATGAAAAAAGTCATCAATGGTATCAAAAAGCAAAAAATTCCATTTTTTATAGTCCAAAGCTGGCATAATTTGCAAAATACATGGCATTGTATGAATATGAGTTTTTTTTTTTAATTAATACGAAAAATCATGAAAATACGAAAAAGAAAAAAAATGTCATTAATTTCAAGACTTGCACACATTTTTTAGTATTTTCTTTCCTAGCGTTATTTTTTTTCAATCTCAAACATCAAGAATTTCGTGCTTTGATGTCTTTCTGGGAAATAAATTACCGCACAAAAGTAAAACAAAATATTATCCTAGAAAAACGAAAACTCTAAGTCGGATTTCTGCGTACTCTCTATTCGTCTGAAACGCAAACTGATCGATAAAGTTTCTTGTTTTTTTTTTCACACACACGCACGAAATGAACAATTTTTGATATTTTCGTTTTGTGTGATAATTCTTGTGGACATTTTCAATAGATATCAAGTATACATGAATTACAAAATAATTGGATAAAAACAACAAGTTCATTTTCAATCAAAGCAAGTACGCAAAAAATGGCTCATTTCTTGCTGTCTGTGAAAATAGCAGTAATTTGTTTGGTTTCATGCATTGAAGCCAAATTAAATAAAAAGTGATCAAAATAAAAGCTAGCAATGACAAAAGTTCGAATCATATTTTGTCGATGAAAATGTCTTTAAGGAAATGATTGTTAGTGTTTGTGAATATGTCTAAATATTGTATTTCATCGTTTATGGTTGGTATTCAAATGTATAATTTGTTTATAAATCTTCCTGCGATTGTTCTCAATTAATTCGATAGTTAAAACCCTATTTGTGTCCTTATCTCAAATATGTTATCTGCACCTTTAGAAACGCCGGCAAATTCATCGTTGCAATTGTTCGTTTTCCATTCATTCACACAACGAACAAACCAGTATCAACATAAACGGAATTAAACCGAAAAAAAAACGAAAAAATGAAATAAATTAAACACAGTCACATTAATATTGTTTATTCGCTTTCATCAGTTCCATTGAATAATTTCGTGTTCTTTCTTTGTTTTATTTTCTCTCGGGTGAAAAAATATCGATGGTTTTCTGATTGATTCCATGCTCATTCACACGTTTGTATATACCTGACTTAAACAATTGAACAACAATATTATAATTGATAAAACTCGCATTCGATGCAATCGCTGGAATTGCGTGTGTTCGTCCAATCAAAAATCGATTCATCATATTTCAGCTGTCACTTGAAAAATTGAATAACAAACGAATTTTTTCTAAGGAAATAGTTTGAAAAACGTATCGTAAAATCATAATAGATTACAGGTGCAGATATATAAAAAAGAACAGTGTGTGTAATTCAATCAATTTTGTGTGGTGCTTTTTATTATAAAACGTTGCACATTACAAACGAACAGACAAAAAAAAAATATATTGAAATTTTGATTGTGTTTTTTGGCACAAAAGAGCGCATTTCATAGTTGCATGATATCTAATTGGCTTTTTGTGTGCGACAAATGACAAATGAAATCGATTTATCTAATTGAATTGGTGCATTTCAGTGCGTTTCGAAAACAAAAGAAAATTTTTAACAAAAAAAAAGAGAGAATCAATTTGTTTGCGTCATGGTGGTAATTAAAACAATTGGTGCGTGTGAAATGCTGCTATTTAAGTGCACGGTTTTATAATAAAGTGCAAAATTCAAGTGCATTGTTTTAAAAGACAACTTGATTTCAGCTACTAATTGGTGCCGTTGTATATATAAAAAAAATACAAATGAAAAATAAAACAAAATGAAAACAAAACCAAAAACACTTAGATTTTGTTTGATTAAAATTTAATTCTAAAATATTTCCCTTGCAAAACATACTGATCTGTTAGTTTCGATTTTCTTTTTTTTTTATAGAAAACTACAATAAATAGGTGCTCTGTGTGAAAGAAAACAAATGATGTGCGAGTTATAAGATACTGTCAAACTGTTTTGGTGCCCTTTAAATTCTCATTATTTATTCAAATTCTAATTCGAGCTTTTTCGTGTCTGATGAATGTGCGAGAATGGATATTTGTATGTGTGTGTTTATGTGGAATAGTGCAAAAGCAATTCTTCTTTTTATGCATGTTAAGGAAAATGATTTAAGGAATTGATATGTGTATGTGAGGAAAAGACCGCGAATGAATATTTTTTTGATAACTTTGACTTTTTGTCACGTAACAAAAATCAATGTTTTTACAAAAAAAAAATGTTCAAAAAAATTAAACACATGTGCAAAAACTCAAAAACTGCTTTGCATCCCAAAATCAAATTTTCATTGCAAATCTCAAAAAAGCAATACGCATCGAAAAACAATAGCAACACTGCCGTGTTCGATGAAATTTTGATTCTGGGTATATGTTTAGGTAGCAATATTGTTTGTTCCGAGAGCAAAAATTCGAAAAAAATATATATATGCAAAAACTTCAAAGCAAAATCAAAATCTAAAACCGACTTCAATTTCAGAAGAAAAATATTAGAAAATAAATCAATGTTCGACTAAATGTGTGTGCGTTTCATTCATGACTATATTATAAAAAATCATGCACTAAATTTGGCACTGGCCACTCTTTTTCTGTCTCTCTCTAAATGCAAAAAAAGCAACTCAACGACTTTTGATTTGCATGTGTACTACTACGCAAAAAAAACTGAAATTTTCGAAATTCATGTCAAAACTAAGCTCATACCAAAAAACGGTGCGGTGCTTGAAATTTGATTGAAAATATGTATATGTGATAAATTATTATTTATGTATATTGAGTAAATTTCCAAATAATTTAAAAAAATATGATTGACATATGCTCTTCGGATTAAATTTATGCCATTTGGCATCAAACACAATAAGATTTGTGGCAAACATGTGTTGATAAAAAAAAGATCATTCAATTTTGGTAAATGTATGCACAATTGTAGCTTGAAACAACAAGATTCGATTCATGTCAAATCCTTCCATTTGTAGGATTATGTGCTAAGCCTCCGCCCATTATGAAAAACATTTACGTAAAACATTTTCCCAGAAATTTAAGAAAAAAAAATGGTACACAATTTTATTCGTCAGTATTGCGTTTATCTTCTATCGCAATAACATTAAAAGCAGATGAAACACGTTTAATTTACTTGATGGAAACACTAAAGCTCGATTCTTTATGACGTGCTATGCTCTATTTTTATTTGGCGGGAAACGCATTTTTTCCCATTTTGCAAACGCATCACAAACACATTCCCTGAGGGCTCGTTATATAAGCTCGCAAAAATAAACCAATATATGCGGTGCACAAAAGTATATTAAATGTAGATTAAATGATAATGCCTTCCAATTTAATAATTGCAATGGGAAAAAGGCAAAACTCAAAAACTATATTATCTGTACATAAATCAACCCAAATAAAAGGGAACATATTTTAAAAAATAAATTTTCATGCGTTTAAAAAATACAATTTCAACGAGAAAATAAATAATTCAATGAAAATCAACTTCCGTAATAGCATTTCCATCAAGTACTTATGATGATCATATGCACAATTCACATGCTTCAATTGTGCAGATGAACAAGTGTAATTCGGTCACAAAAGCTACTTTTAATGTCAAACAGCAATATTTTACAGAAAAATGAACAAAAAATTGTGCACAAATTTCCATCAACATCATCCGAATAACATATGGCAATAAATTTGCATTCAACAACTTACATTTATTGAGAGTAGATCTTCATTGTTGCATTACACACTAAAAATGAGCACACAACAAGGAAGATCTGTAGTAATGATTAACCGCATTTTTATACGGAAAATTAAATCGATGTAACAATTGAGCATGTTACAATGTAATGCATATAGTGTTCTCGTTTTAGTAAATAAGTGGTATTCAGTTTAAACATCTTTCAATTCACAATGTGGATAGAAAAATATTAAATTCCGTAATAAATTAGTTAAAAATGTAAAATGCTCAATTTGTACGTAAATTTCAAACTCTGGAATATTTATAAAAGAGATATCGTTTAGAGTTTGAAATTTATAAAATTGTGTGAAGAAGATATAAGAATAAAATAGTTTTTTTGTATGAAATATCGAAAAATAAAATATAGAAAAATATTTCGGTTCAAAAAAATGTTTTATGGTTTTAGACGTCAAAAATTCGTTTGTCCAGATCCATTTGATTTGCTACCTGTAAAAAAAGACTCTCAAAAATGTCTCAAAAAAGATTTCACCATTCAATCCATTTGTGGAAAAAATAGATCGATCGAAATGTTCAAAAAATGTGTTTGTTCTTTTAAAATAGTGTAAGTGGAGGGTGGAGATGCGTCAGGTGATTTACCAGCAGAATTGCTTATATTATCGCCAAAAAGAATGCCAATTTTAGCTGATAATACATATGGCCGCTGGCAAACCACCAAACTGAATAGGGGTGAAAATAAATTGGTTTGTTTCAATAGCTCGCATTTCTTTTATCATGTTAAAATGTTGTTAGATTTTTTGTAGAGTTAGTTAATTAAAAATTAAATTATAGTTAGATTTATTATAAGATTTCTTTACGGATTTTATGTTTGTTTTGTTTGATGTGTTTTTGTTTTTTTTTTGTTACATATTTTTACATACCGTCCTCGAGAGTTCGCACAACGATTGGATATGATCGTGGTCCGTCGCCAATTCTTGTGCCAGCTAATACCCAAATCTTATAATCGGTCCATCGTTTCAATTCGTCCAAAATGATTTCGGTGATATTGAGTGTCGTGACCGATGCCTCACTATCGGACAGACCATTTTCCACGAAAAATACTTTATAATAAACGATTTGACCGTTGGATCGTTCAGCTGGTGGTGGATACCACGATACAGCTATGGTTGTTGGGCTCATCGCTTCTGCGCTGATATTGTTCGGCGGTGCACCCGGCACTAATTCAGTCAATCAATCATTTTATACATATACATATCATCGATTATTTTCGGGTGCAATTCGGTAATTTTGTTTAATTTTTTGTTTGTTGTTTTGTTTTTAATTGAATTTCGTTGTCATCAATTTGTGTATTGATTTGTCGTTTGGTCAATGTGTGTATTTTTGTGGATGTGGGTGGTGTGTGTATGTATGTTTGGTCGATGTGTTTATGTTTGGTGTATGGTTTAAGTGTTGTATGTTGTTGTGTGCATATGTAAATATGTTTAGATCGAATGTATAAATATATATTCAATTAATTTAAATCGCACACACAAAAAATCAAGCGCAAAACATAAAAAAATGAAAAGAAAAAAAAAGAAAAAAAGCAAATTAGCAAATTTTGATTTAATGAAAAGAATGCTGAAAAATTGAGAAAAAAAACTTAAAGAAAACTTAAGATAAAGCTGAAATGATAAAGCATTGAAATGAAAAAATCCACAAAAACAAGAGTCAAAACAAGGATAAAATAGACTAAAAATCAAACAAAAAATTGTGTGTTCCCTGTGAAAAATAAATATCTTCTTTTTCCGTTTTTGTTTATATTTTGTAATATAGAATTTTAAATGGATATAGAAAATGTGTAATTGGCATTTACCGTTGGCTTCATTATCAATCATAAAATCCCGTTTATTTTTGGATTGAATGAATAAATTATTGTATCGGTTTTGTTTTTTTTTTTTGGTTCGTTCGATTTAAATTGAGAAAGAGTATTCAAATGAGAAGGAGGGGGAGAAAGAATTGTAAATATTCGATAATTTTCAATTAGGTTATTTTATTATTTATTGCATGTTTGATGCGTTGAAGTGTAGATTAAATGTAAATATTTATTTGGATGTAAAAAAAAAACTGTGCTATTGAATATTGTATACTTGTGCAAGTGTATTGCCAAAAAATTGTGCGTTTGATTTAAAATTTGTGTGTCGTTTTTTTTAAGTACAGAAACGTGATTGTGAATTACACAATACAAAAATGCTAACCAAAAAAAAGAGGAAAAACGTATGCGGTAACAAATATCGATTTTCTTTTTTTTTTTTATTTGAAGGGGGTGCGATTTTCCGTACGTTTTCTGTACGAATAGGTTATACAAAAATGAATTATGAATAAATCGAGTGAAAAAAAAATATTTAAACACAAAATGTCGTAGTATACTCGCAAAAATAACGGTTTCAACTAAAACGGAACAAAAACTTGAGTGCGTATTACGTGTTGCTCTTCAACTGGGTACAAAATAACGGGTGTGTGAGTGCATAATAGCATATCAAAAAGGTGCGATGGTGCTCCAAATATATATAAAACGTGTATTTATAATATATATTTATAATTTTTTTTTATAAAAAAAAGTAGGTGTGGTGAATATAACATCAAAAACATTTTAATTGTTCTTTTGCTCTTGCTGTGTTTTTTTTAATCGAAAATTGAATTCAAATAAAAATTTAAAAATAAAAATGAAACACTCAATAATTTGAAGCATGCAATTCGTTTGTTTTCACAAATGAAAATGTTCACTCTTTCTCTCTTTTTTTTTTTCAAATTCGATTAAATAAAAAAAGCAAAAAAAAAAAATCATCAAACCTCACACCAAGCAATTTCACTCTCCTGCAAAATGATTTTTTGTTAAGTTTTCTATCTCGCTCTCTGTTAAAACACACAAAAATTCAATTAAAACCACTCAAATCACACAACAAACGGTTTACAAGTGGCCTTGTCTGGAGTATAATACACAGACACCAAAAAATACACTCCAAAAAAAAATCAAATTAAAGGAGATCAGAAAAAGGAAAAAATTTAAATAAAGCATCACTTCACACATCACAGAATCATTGACATAACAATAATAACTCACGCTTCGATTTGGCTGTGATTTACAAAAAGAAATTGGAAACATAAACATCAACAACAATGGAATCAATCAAAAAATCGGCTCAAACCCAACAGCGACTCAAATCCTCAACTGATTGTTCACAAATAAAATCAAGTGCAATCAATGTACAGAAAAATAAAGGAAGAATCGATAAAATATAACTGAAAACATAACTGAAACGATTTTCATTTTATAACGAAATAAACTCAAGACTTTCAAGTGGATACATATTCATTTTGGTGTGATTAGTGCATCGTATCGATGTCGATTTATCCTATTTTTTTCATACACTCTCACTCGTTCTCCCATGCGCTCAATGCTCTAGTGAATTCAAACAAATTGATTCAATCGACATCAATCTCTCGTTATATATGTGTTGCAATTGAACGAAATGCTGGATCAGCAGCATCACAGTGCAACAATTCACACATTTCACATTTCACACCCATATTCGTATCAAATTGGTTGTTGTTGCTTTTATCGTAAGTGTGCCACTCGTGCATTTTACCCACCAAAAAAATTCCGTCTCAATCATTATTTATGATACGTATAATTGAAAGAAACGAATAAAAAAACGATAAAACCAACTATTTCCAATATGCTTTTATATGGTGACATGTTTTATTTTTTATTTTTTTCAAAAAGCATTTTGGGTGGAAACATCATCACTCATACAATACTCAAAGTTACAAACTGTCAGCAACCACTCAACATCAAACAAACAAATTGTAACACTCAACATATTCGTCCATGGTGGTCCAACCACAGATATTTGTATGTGGTGAACAGATAAATACACTCAAATTGTGATTAAACACACACTTCAGCGGTTCGCATCAAAATGTCAATTCGTATGCACTTTGATGCTATCAAATCAACGATATTTCGTTTTCACTTTAAAATATTGTTGACTCTGTTTTTTTTATTATCTTTTTCTTCTCAAAATGCTTTCGTTTCATCGAAAGTGAAAAAAAAATGTCACGGAAAAAAATCTCAATCGCATTGACAAAAAAAAATCTTTCTTTCATTTTTCAAAAATCTTTTTATCCATTTCAAAAATCAATTTGATTCTCAAAAAACAACCTAACTCTCTGAATATTCGCGTTACAAAAATAAAACGATTCCCATATATGTTTAATTAAAATTAGAAAAATGTAATATGATTTCTTACCGTATTGTTTTGTTCGAACTGGAATCGGTGGAGTCGTTGCACCTTCGCCGCGTTGTGATCGAGCTGCCAACCATATGTAATACAATGTATCCGGATACAAACCCGCCAATTTATATGTTTCAGTATTTGCGATGCGTCTGCAATGATTTTTGCAAAAAGCGAACGAAACGATCAAAACAAAAATGAAATTATAATTAGAGAAATGTCTTCGCAATTGTGAAAAGTGAAAATAAACTATTTATTAGAAAATAATCAGAATGGATGGATAAAAAGTGATTTTATGTTTATAGAATTGTCACAAATCAAAACTAGACTAAATAAATAGCAGATGGAATTGAAAGGAATGAAAGAACATGAAAACTTACTTGTGGTGCGCTTCATTTGCATACGTATCATTCCAATACAATTCATAGTGTACGATATTTTCATTGGAATGAATTGGTTTCGACCATTGTAATACCACATCGGTTTCTCCGATGTCGGTCGCACGGAAATTGCTTGGCTGTGACGGAACACCTGATTTGATTGTACGACACCGCCGAGTAGGATATCGTCGTCGTTGTTATATGCCAGTCGTGTGTGTTTGTGTTCAGAAGGATGATTTTTATTATTCGTCGTCGTCGTCGTTGCCATTGTTTCGTATACAAAAGTGAAAATTCAATTTTACCATACGTTCCATGCATCGGCGAAATGGCAATATTGTCAAAGAGTTTTGTATGTTGATCATTGAATTGGCATTGTGTATTGTATGTGTTGCGTTTGGAAAACATGCGAATATGAAATAAAATCATTCATTTAGCTATTGTCATTCAAATTGGTTGAATGGCATGGTTGTTTGTGTTTGCGTGAGGCATATATTCAATGTACTCTCTCCCCCTCTCTCTCTCCCACACACACTCACTCACCATGCCATGCACACATGAATGAAAATTCAATTTATCCATACCTTGCTGTGTCTTCACTTTCACCGGATTGGACATTGGGCCGGCACCCATGCTTGTGAAAGCCTGTACACGTACTGTGTAAATGGCGAGCGGTGTTAATTCCGATATTGTTGTTAATTCGCTATTGTCGACCATTTGTGAATCCCAAGATGCTTCTGGCTGATTTGGATTTGTTGTATAATAGACTTTGTAACCCTGTATAATTTAATTAAAAATCGTCACACATATTATAATTTGGTCTATGGCACTGACGGCACATCGAATTATGGCCACAAAAAGAATGTTAGCAAATAAATTATTATTCCAATGTCCTATCGATGATACCATTTTCTCGACATACTTTGCTTCAATGCTCGAAAATTCCTTTTCCTTGCTAATATGTTCAATCCCAAAACTGCTCCAAAAAATCACGTTAAAACGAAAATCTATCTATATCCCGGTCAAACTTTTCCATCAACATTCCGTTCCGATCAAATAACGTACACACAGCTTTGTGGTCTATTCTATAGTCGTCGCCATTTTCATAAGTTTCTTTAAATACACTTTCAAAGTTGTGTAATTATTGAGAGACATTCTAGACACCGAACAAAAAGTGACAACGATGCTGGCACACGATTGTGAAACGCGAGGACGGACAGCAGTTTCGAAAAGTTTTTCAAGTTTTGTAAAGATATGAAATCATATATCAACCACACACGAATCTCATATTGCATGCACATCATTCACTAAGTCAGCACACAGACACAATGAAACGCATTTTGAATGATTTTAACGTTGTGGCATTTCTCTGTTATTAGTCTATTATTTTCTTTATTGGTTATTATATTCTTGAATGATAATGCCTGTGCACGCTAGAGACGGAGAGTGATTTTACATGACCGGATATTACTTTGAATGTCTTTCGATTATTACAAAAGATGAAAATTGTCGATGGATTTTATACGTATTCTGATCGTCAGAACTTTCTTTGAACAGTTTGTTCTCTTACAAAAACATGCTACACTAATTAAAGCAAATGTTGCTTTTCCAAATCTTTTTGCAATGTCCAAAAGACTTTAAGCGATGAGTGTACGGATAGACCAATAATTAAACATCATACACATGTTAGACGGAAATCGATGCACATTTGCAAAGTATGTCTCGATTCATTAGGAAGTTTAAAGTTTTGCTTTGAACACCAAAAAAAGAATGAGAAACGATGAGCTTCAAACTTAAACTTACAGTTACTTGGCCGTTTGGTGTCTCTGGCGGTTCCCATGTTATCATCATCATTGATGGACTTAATGGTCGCACTTGAACATTTCTTGGTGCACTTTCCATTTCTAAAATTGCCGGAACAAAAAGTATAAGGATAGAAAGCAGTTTGCAAACGATTAGCATACAAAAACAATATAATGGACACAAATCTAATAGAATTGAAAATGTTTTTTTTTTATTTAAAACAAATGTTCAATTGACGTGACACTTACTGGCACCTCCATTTATCGAATCATCTTCAGTTCACAATTTTATTTGTTTTTTTTTTTTGTTATGTACATTTTAGTGAGGTTTGTTTATATTTTTCGTTGTTTGTGTTTTTTTTCGGGTATTTATGTTAATTTTGAGTTTATTATGTGGATTAGTCGTAATTTGCACACACACAAATACAAAACAGCAAATGGCGAAGATTGTGTGACAAATGCAATTTACAAGTAGTGATTAGATGTTTTTTTTTCGGATTTTTGATTGGTTGTGATATATATATAGTTAGTGATAGGTAGTGGTGGCGGTGGCAGTGGTGATGTTATACATACAAATCGAAAGCATGAAAATAGACATGAAAAAGGTATTAGAGTTAAAAGCAATTTTCTTCTCTTGAAACAAAAATACAATGCTATTATTATTATGAAAATTCGTACAAAATGCCTTATTTATATTTGAGCCTCATATATTCTTGGCCTAAATTTTTTTCAAAGAATGGAAAGAAGAATCAAAGGCTCAAATATCGAGCGAAAAATGGCATAAAATGAGCAAAGTAATGAACAATAGTTTTACATTTAAATGTAAAAGTTTTTGTGTTAGAGTGAGAGAGTTTTCGCGTTGAAAAAACTTCGTTTTATCAGCCAATTGCGGCAAAAAAACAATAGCTGTTTAAAGGAAGTGGAACCAAATAAATGTATATAAATTGAAAAGTTATCGTTCTTTTTTCTTGATACAAAGTTGAAACCGATCCAAAATGAAGAAGAAAAAAAATGAAAAGAAAAATAGTTGAACGAATTTCCATGAATTATTCTAGTTTTGTATACAGATTGATGTTTCGACTTACAATAAAGGTTATTGGCATTTTATTTTGTAGCCGCCAATATAAAATGTTCATTCATAGTAAACGCATTTTGTTATAATCCGAGGGACAAGGTGGGCAGCAGCATTACGTAGAAAATTGTAGAAAAAAGTTTTTTTTTTTTCGATTATATTTGAGATATACGTAAATGGTGTATTTTAAATGGTAAACGTCGACGGTCGTTTGTTTGATTCATTTCAAGAGAACAAAAAAGGCTTTGGCACACAAAACACAAGGTGGAAAATAAAGAGGGTAGGAAAAACGCAAACAGAACGAAACAAAATCAACAGATAAATTTGAATTCACGAAACACAAGTGACACACGTTCGCATCCGAATTTCGAGGAATAAAAAGAAATTAAATGACACAACATGAAAATGGCATTTATTGGGTGAAAGAAAATCATATTCATCTAACTGAAGATAATGAGTTGCGTTCATTTTTGTATATGTATATTTAAAAAAAAAGAAGAATTTCTTTCTACTGCGTTCCTTTCTACGCTGCGAACCAAAGAAAGTTCATTTTCAACTGAGTACCGATCGAAAATGAATTTTCTTCTTTTTGTTCGTCTCGTTTTCCATAGAAAAATGAGAAAAATCGCGCGTACGCATTGCATAATTTTGTTTGCATTTTTCGTTAGGTCGACAGATAGAGCGAGAGAGATTGTGTGTGAGACAGGAAAGGAAAGAATGAAAATTAAATCGTGAAAACGTGAACTCAAATAAACCAATTAAAAAGAATATGCAAAGCCGAAATTCATGAGACAATTCGTTTTGTTGAAACACTCTTACCTGTTTCACCGGTCGTCGTGGTGGCTGGAATGGATGCCGGTCCACGTCCAATATTATTCACAGCAATCACATAAAATTCATATTCCGTGTATGGACTGAGCGCACGCACCACATAAAACATTGTTATAATGCCGCTAATCTCGCTAAATGCCTGCGCATTTTTCAAACGTCCCGACGGAACGAATGTTGAAAAAAGGTATAGAAATTTTTTTCTCTCATGAATAATAAACAAGAAGAAAAATGCACACACACACACTTACCCAGTCACACAAATGAGAGAGAACGTTGCGGAATGTGAAATGCTCATTCATTTGAATATGTTTTATTTTGAAAAAGAAAAGGTGAAAACTCGCGCGGTTGTAATGGAAATTCCTTTGCCAAGACCATTTAGTTACCAGTCTAACAAGAGATTCTACTTCAAGAGCATAAACATAGTTCACGGAATGTAATTTTCTTCGAGCAAAAATTAAAATGTATTCATTCCGGTAAATTTTGAACGTATAGAAAAAGTTTGTACGTTAATGTGAATCGCAGCAAAAACGCACGAATGATTTCTTGTTATTTGAAGTGTTCGTTCTCTTTCTATTTGTCGCAACTAAACACTTTATTACACCATTTTTATCTTTGCAGCGGGCAAAAGTTTTCCATATTCATTCCAGCAACCAAAGGGAATCGGGATGTGTGTGTGTGTTTCTCAAACAAATGAAAGAATTAGTTTTAACTTACCTGATTTGCATTTTTCGGTTTGTACTGAATCACATAATATTGTAAATCTTCAGGTCCTTTGTAAGACCACTCAAGTCGCACGGATGTGGCAGCAACCTCCGATATGATAACATCAGTTGGTGCGGTTGGCAAAGCTGTATATTTTTTTAAAATCAAAAACGTATGCACAAAATGCAACGCATGCAGAATAGAAAATTAAGTTGTGTATTTTGGATTAGATGAGATTTTCAGAACAGTGTCAAAAATGAACTTTTGCGTGTGTATGTGACTTTTAATGCAAAAATACCATGTTCACCACTAATATATTTTTCATTTAAAAATATTTATATTGATTTTCATCTAGCGATAACTTTTGCCGAGTAATGAGACTTTTTACAAAAGTTTAATTAATTTTTGAGTTGTGAATCAACGGAATCTAAATGAAAACGGGTGTGCTTCACTGTTACTTGTCGTGCGATGTTATCGGTGTTTCTAACATAAATTTCACTTACATTGAACTTTGACCATAGCATGAGCTTCGATCGTGCCCAAAGTCGATGCAGCAATGCACGTGTAGTTGTTGCTCTGCTGAATGTTCGTCAATTCAAGCACATTTTTACCGACTGGCATTTGATCTTCGGGTGTTATATCATTGGTTCCTGACTTCCAGCGCACAAACGGCATTGGTGATCCAACGGCAACACATTCCAAACTTAAATTTGCTCCGAGCATTATCTCATTGATCGGTTCGGGTAAACGAGAAAATGTTGGTGGAACGCGTCTCTCTTTCACATACAATTGAGTTGGTTTCGAATGCTCAGTTCCCACTGAATTTTCTGATACACACTCGAACTTTCCTTGATCCTCTCGTACGCTATCTACTATTTGAAGACTCCCTGCAATTTGACAATAACAAATTTGATTTTTTAATAGAAATATTGGGAGACAAATTGATTAAATCTAGTTTGCTGCTTATTGTGTACTATTTTATAATTAAAATCCAATTTTTTTAAATCTGGAACTGTTTCTGAATCGCTTTGTGAAGTCTTTTGACCTATTGAATGCATATTTTCCCATAATACAAACCATTCATTTAAAAAAAAGCGATTAATTTTGTTTCACATGAAATTAATGTGAAATGTTTTGAATTTGTTTCTTTACCGTTAACATCAATTCAACTGAGTTGAAAAAAAATCAAAACTTGCACCTGAATGAATATTGTAATGCATAAGTAATGTTCAATGTACATTTATGTTCTATATTTTCAGTTGTATGCCATATGATTTGTGTGAGCAAAAAAAGACATACATCATTTTACAACAGCCACGACAAAAAAGTGCAAGTGGTTTCATTTTGCAGTCATTAATGAAAATTTATGATTTTTAACTTCAGCCAAAATGGTCAAATCATGTGGAAAATAAACTTATGCATTACAATGATGAAATTGTTTTTTAACAAAAAAAAAAAAAAACGAAAAAAAAACTGCTTTTTGTCTGATTTGCAATTTATGATCAAACATGCAGAGATTGTGCTGGTTATGAAAATAATAAAAATTGTTTTTATAAATTTGATAAAATAAATTGCGTCGGATGAAATTTATGGCCATCGAATAGTTAATTAAGTGTGGCTTAAAAAAGGAAAATAATAATAATTCTGGTTGTAAATATATTCGTGTCAATAACACCATATTGTTATGAATAAATTAAAACAGCTGATATCAGCGTAAAATCATACACTGAAAAATATCCTTTATTTTAGCACTTACCATCAATCAATGTGTATCGTTGATTCATTTCCAAACGTTTGCCATCTTTGAGCCAGTAGATCTTTGGGGTTGGATTTCCGGTTGAACGGCACTGCATCACTGCGGTGTGACCAATTTCGATGACTCGCGTCTGCGGACTTTGTGTAATTATGGGGAAACCACTTGGCGTTTTATCGGCTACAAAAAAAAAACATGAAAAGAAAAGAAAATCGCTTAATTAAAATAGAGACTTGACAGAATGGCATTTGATAAGGATGACATGAATTTGATTTGGCAAATGCAATTTCTCTTATTTTTGGCATGACGACAACACAACCGAATTGTCGCTGAAATTCTATACATTGTGAAAGTAGCGCGGTACTGTACACATGAATGTGAAAATGTTTTTTTTTCCTGTTTAGTACTCAGACGGTCCCCGGAATGTGCACATAATGGAACAGGTGTGTTTTGCTGTCATTTAATATCTTTTTTACATTATCCATGTCATTATTTTTATGGCCCTTTTGTTCTCCACTTGAATTTTTTTTTAGCTCAAGCTCTAGGTTTATCATTCGCTCGCTTTCTATCTGCATCTCTTTTGTTGTACATTTCTTCACTTCCTTGTTGTTAACACATAGTCTACTTGAAATGGCATTTTTATATTCGGTTTGTTGCTCCATCACTTCGGACACATATTTGTCAAATGTTGAGAATTCGAAAAAGCGGAATCAAATGAACAAAAGATTTGAGAGTAAAAAAAACCAGTAATGTGATATGTATGCGTATTTTTGAATGTTGTTGTTTGTTTATAGCGTGTTTTAACATAAATGTGATGCTCGTAATTCTGGCCACCTTTTTTAAGTACCATATCGTTTGGTTGGCAATGGCTTTGAAATCTTTAGTTACTTAGCACGATTTTCGAAATTATTCTCACCATTGTTTGCTTTTCTTTTTTTTTTCACCTCATAAAATCACCAGACAATGTGTGCATGCGTACGACTAACACATTCATTCGATGATTTTTCAAAACGAAAATCCAAGCATTTATTGTTTAACCAAGCGCACAGACAAGTCTATTATGTGAAAAAGGTACAAAGGCCACATACTTTGATAAGAAGAATGAAATGAAGAGCTATGCAAGAGAGTGGTTTTGCATGACGCAATTATGTTTGTCATTTTCTTTTGATTCAATGACATTTTCCTCATTCGAAGGTTTTACGTTTCAATAAATTCACAAGCCACCCATAACAATTCATCTCTTTTGGTGCGCTTATTTCATGAATTTAATTTTCAAACAATGCCATCACCATGGAATTTTGCTCTTTTCATCTAAGGAATGAAAAAAAAATGAAAAATAACATTCATTTATTGTAACTCAAAGTTTGTCATTCGGACTACCTCTGGCATTGTATCGACCTTAATCCCATTGACCGATAAAAAGAATCCATAATGAAATTGGCTTTTATATCGACAAAAATCGTTCAGTAAAAACTTTTAATGATACAACAAACTATCTCGATAATAGTGGTTATTGTTTACCGGAAACTATTCCAACGATGTGGCTCTCACTCAATTGAAAGCAATGTGGTTAGTTCATTTTATGTTTATAGATTTTCTATTTTCTTCAATAATAATAATGAGCGTGTTTATTTTGTCATCTCGATCGATTTTTATCCGAAACATGTTCCATGTTGTTTATTGGCATGAAGAAAAATGGCAGCAAATAAGCTATATATTTTGCAACATCATTCATTATGATAAAGAATGCAGTCATCCCCGTGAGAAAATTGCGTCCAACAACTACTAATAGAATATTATGATCTTCATCACCATCAAACCCCTCATCGGTAACTGTTTTATCATTTACGGTTTATGGCCATCCAAATGATGAATACACGATGAAACCGAATGGCAACAGCAGGTAAACACAAATTAGACGACAATCTCTGTTATTCTGCACTTAAAAACCATCTGCGAACAGCGTCGTCACATTTGCCATCAATACGGATATTACAACCATTCACAACAAGGTAAAAGTGAATGAGACACGAATGACATATGCAACTCACATCCATGTGTCATGAGAAATGGCAAACAAAACGAAAGGAAAAATGTATACGATATAATTGTCGTTTCCGACTTTTCACATGATTTATGTTGGAAATAATGTCACTCACTTACTCACATTTTTTTCTTCTCATTCTTCCATTGACTTTATTGCCGACAGAATCAAACGAAACATCGTTTTAATTATGTTATCTGATAAAAACAAATACACAAACACAAGATATAAAAGAAATAATAATTACAGTGAAGTACCTGCTGCTGATGCTGCTTCAACAGAGAAAAGGGGGAAAAACTCATTTATATTCCTCGAGGGATTTCCCACAATAAAGTTTATTTGAAAATAAAACTGAAGATAAAACGTAATAAAATTCAATGTCAATTCTATGATGATTTTTTTCCCTTTTCTTCATTTCAAACAAAATCAGCACTAATTGTGAAATCTATTTGAGACTCTTATGTTTGATATTTTTTATTAATTTACACACTTGATGATAATAACAATCGAATAATTTTATGAATGTGTTTAAATGATGATGCCAATTATAAGTGCAAAAAGAAAACATATATAACTTAATCATGTCGATTAGAATCAGTTGGATTTAATAAAATAGAAATATAACATCGACACAACGCCATCATTAAATTTTAACATCGAAAATGGTGATTATAAGAAATGGCACTGACAACATAAACATTCCGAATGGATGCATATGCAGTGTACACATTTTGCGTTCTAAGAGATGTCATAATGTTCTATTTTGAAACTTTAATGTTTTTAATCTCGATTGAGATCGAAAATGGTGAAGACAGCAAGACTTGGCTTACAATAATATGTGATGACATTTATTCGTATTTCATACTCGGATATCTCTTGCTATATCATCAAAACCATTGAGTGTGCGAGTGTAACATGTTGAAATGCTCTTAGATCTTTCGATTGCAAATGGTTCGATCGAGTGTATGTTTTAGTACACAATTCAAGAGTAAGCGCTTGAATAGAATCAAATCGAAAAACCCAACCGTTTTCATTTCGGTTTCTTTAGTTTGCAACAATGCAATGAACATTGCAATTACTTGAAAATGCATTTGCACATTGCTTGTATATATACTTTAATACACTTTGCTGTCGGAAAATTGCTTAGTTGGGAAATTTGCAAATCGTAAATAAAATAATGAAAATTCAAATGTTAAAATGGTTAAATGGGTAGCCCGGCAATATGTATACGATTTCAGAGTAAAACACATACACAACCAATTGAAATGAGAATATATTCATTGCATTTGGTATACAAATGTTCATGGGTATTGAATGTTTCAATGGTGTTTGCATTAAATGATGCTCATGGAATAGGTGTATATGGCACGTTTATCCCATGCGAATCGTTAGACGACGCACGTCTACAAAGAGTCGAGTGCAATATAGCGTGCATTTTGCATGCATTTTGGGTATATGTTTTCATTTATTCATTCGACTTCATTTGTTATTTCAAACAATTTTACTCTCTGTGAACAGTGAACACCAACATTCGATTGACAATAAAACCAATATTAGAAAGGGAGAGAGATAGAGTTGGGGAAAACAAAGTAGTTGCATTCAATGCGACAACTGCCTTCTTTGTTATCATCAACTTAAAATATATAGACGAGATTTGGTGAGGATTGAGGCTGACGGTATTTGGAAGAGATGTGGATTCAATACAAAACAAACTGCTTAAACTAAAAATGGAACTTTGAAATTCGTTATGACACTTTGAGTAAATTTGTTAAATTGCATTATATTTTCGGAGGCCCAGACAATGAGACAATTTCTATGGAAAAACGGATGAATGGACAATGCTATGCATATGAAAATAAATTGTACTGCATAAACACAACTATTGAACACTTTTCCAACACAAACCAAAAACCATTTTCACAAGAAACCACATAAATAATGCTTCATCGGACATTTATGCAGTTTTAGATATAATTTTGTCAATGACAACACATCTCCGGCATTCCAATTAAATCATAAATTATTGCAAAATTAGAAATCACATGTATTTATGGTATTTTTGGACTTTGTGAGTTCAAATACACAAATAGATTTTATGCATATAAGATAAATATACAGGGTGGCGCATATAATAGGCTCACTCTTAGGGGGTG